GTAATGTTAAAAATTTATTTCCATTATTATTTGTTTAAGCAACTGCTAACAAAAAAACAGTAATGTTTCATGACAGCATAAATTTACTAAAAACTGCGGGAGCCGTAATTGTCTGTGCACACATTGTATATCTTCTCTCTCTTATACATATTACACGGCAACATACAACCACACACTGTCTATCGAGAAAAAATTGAGAAAATTCAAAGTTGCAGTTAAAAAATGTCAATGTTGTTTTTTTTTTATATCTTCCCGAACCAAACTTGAACAAAAATTGTTGAGGCATATATGACCAAGCGAAATCAGATTAGGAAACAATCTTGTTTTTAAATATTATCATGCACGACATATATTGCATCAGAGATCACACTTTTCAAAACTATATTGCAAGTTCTCTTTTGATTTATCCTTGTATAATGTGTTTGGTATTTACTTGTGATATAGCTAATGTGTACTTCCACAGCGTTGATCATATACTAATCAACTTAATTGATTAACAATCAACAAATATCAGTAATTTATATCAAACTTTGAATCACCTCGACTCTAAATTTACTTTTATAAAATGCTATCAAGCATCTGCCAACCTCACTATTCCTGCAGGACAAAACCATCAACAGAGGACACAAACACACATCAATTTGATTTATCACATATAGAAGGTACATTACTTTAATTCCTTGCAAGTAAAAAATACAAGTCTTTTTTAAATCAGATTACACAATGTAAAGTAATTCAAAACTTGCATGATTCTAAATACTGTGGATTCATGTATGTTCGTGCATACCATTTTTGGGGGATTGATGAAAAATTGTATTTTCGCTCGTATTTGATTTTATGGTTTTGCCACAATCTGCATACAAGCATACAGACATTTTTAAATCGTTGAACATAAAAATTCGTGGTTTACTTTTATCTTCGAAATCCATGAAAATTGGTGTCCCACGAACAATAATACATCAAGAGTATTCAGCAATCATCAGCATTTTATAAGGCACAATGCGCTTAAAACACTGAATGATATCTATCATAGTACAAGAAAATATTAACGGTAATATTTGAGTGAAATTGTTATGTTTACAGTCACCATGTCCACAACCTCAGTATCTGTGTGCGACCAGCATGGACAAGAAGAAGTCAGGTTTTATTGTAGAAATTGTAATATTACGTTATGTGACGATTGTATAACCGGGCCACATAAGAACCATGACTTCATAAAACTTAAGGAATTTGGTACACAGAAAAGAAACAGTTTCTCAAAAATTTTGAGCGCTGCAAAAGAATCCTAAATTCCGGAAACTCGTACTGCTGTATCAAAGGCTGAGAAAGGCAAGGTTGAATTTGAGAAATCGATAGAGCAGCAAATTACATTGATAAATTCAACGAGAGAAACAATAAATACTACATTAGATGAATTACAGAAACAGTTAGTTGAAAGTTTTCAGAATGAGAAAAAAACCTGCCGTTGATGAATTCGAAAGATTTGTCAAGAGGCAAGAAAAACGTATAGTAGAAATAGATGATATAATAGAAAAAATTGAATCCAAAGGAACCAATTTGCTTGATACAGATGTACCGTTGTATCATGTGACTTTAGAAAAGCTCTGTGAACATGATCCCTATTATGATACAGTCCCTAATATACAACAACCAGTCTACCAGTTTAATGAAGAAATTGCTATCAGGAATAAGTTACAACATATTATGGGTCAAATGGACATCGGAAAATATGAAGTCGTGTAACCTAGCAAAGAAGAAACGATTCCTAAAACGGTGATGAACAGTCCAATTGAACAGTCTGTTGAAGACAGTTCAAGTGATTTCTACTGTTCGGCAACACAAATGAATAAGAAACACTTTCAATTATTGCGCACTATCCCCACAGAAAAACCAATATCGTTTATTGTTCCAAAGCATGAGAGGTTCTCGGCATGGCTGATAGACAACCACGTCACAGAATTCGATTGTAGTAAGGAAGAAGCAAAGTTTAAATTGGTTAAACCATTGGATGAAAACCGGCCACTGTGTGTACAGATGCTAGAAGTAATCTCCTTTTAGGATTTATACACAAGAAAGCTTTAAAGCAATGGCAACCTACAACATCGAAATTTACTCGCAAATCATCATATAATTTTGTAACAGACATAAACTATGGCGATTTAAAGTTATGTTGTATATCAAAAGCCGTCACAACAGATGAGATTATTTTATGTCTTTTTGACAGAATCTCTATTGATGCCGGCGCGTATGTAGTTCAATGGCACAGTAGCGGAAATAAAATTGCTTCCAGAAAACTCTCATTAATATCTATAACAAGTGAAATTGCAAATCCTGTTCAAATATGTGAACGAAAGGATGGACTGATCTGTCTGGTTTGTCGTCCAGAAAACGATTCGTGGGTGCTTGTCGTGGGCAAAACTGGACAGATGCAGACAAGATTTCCAAAATTGAGCATGAAAGAAAGTTTTTACATTGTCGGTGCTGGATTCATGGCTGACGGCACAATCACCATTTCCTGCCAAGAAGGACGTGAACAATGCATATTTAATCTAGAAGGCAAATGCGTTCAGAAAGATAAACTTGACAAAAACCCAATGTGTTGTTCCGTAGATGAACAAGACAATATTTGGATCGGATTTGAGGATGGGACTGTTCAAATCGCTAGTTATGCTAGTAGTTTATGTTCGTCAAGCGAAATCAAAACACAGTTGTAATTCTTATATTCATTTTAACATATTTATTATTACTCCAAGTTTATTTATTTTACCTGTTCATATATAGTAGTTTATGGTCATTTATAGCTGAAAAATTGTTAATTTCGAAATCTGAACATATAACTTGTCTAGTGATTTTTTATAGAACCCCCCTCCCCCTTGCGAGTATTTTGCCTAAGGTGACCCTAGCCGTATTTGACAAAACCATTATTTTTTAGTTTTGGCTTTCATTGATCTTAAAAATGTTATAATTTGCACTTGATTGTTTTTTTTATGTTTTGATTCCATTAGTGGCACAAGTAGAGCACAAAAAAAGTAAAATAACTTTCTACAGGCATTTCCTGTGTAAAAAATGGTGGGTTAAACCTGATTTTATAGCTAGCTAAACCTCTCACTTCTATGACAGTCGCATAAAATTTCCATTATATTGACAACAATGTGTGAACAAAACAAACAGACATTATAGGTATAAATGTCAAAATTAAGGGTACAGCAGTCAACATTGTGTTTTAATCTTAATCACTATAAAAGCAAACAAATATGTCAGCAAAGAAAAACAAAAAGGCAAATAGACAAAGCACATTAGAAAAAAAAGAAAGACAAAAATACAAAAATTTACCATAGCACAATAATACAATGACGGGATGTATAAGTACCGAGCCACGTCAAACGGATATTTCCAAAAATAGACTTTACAGTAAAAGTATTACTTTACAAAAAAAAATAAAAGAACACTATAACACGTAATTAAGATGATGAACAACGTCAGTACCTAGAATCTAAACTTCAAGACCATCGTATATTATTTGTGAAGTTGATACGGAATATTTATCAACAAGGTCTTGGTATCTGCCGATGTACTTGTTTAGAAAAACAGACGAGACGTTCTTTGATATAACCCTGGTTCATCAACTTTCTGCTCAGACACTGGTGACGTTTTACAAAGTCTGAGTAGCAGCTGCAAGCTCTTGAATACCGAATGAGTTGGGAAATGTATATCCCATATGCAGCTGAAGTTAGTATATTGCTACTAAGGTGGGGGAAATTGATAATTTCAAAATTAAACATAAATGACTTAAACATGACATTTAATATATGTTATGTTGATAAGGTGTGTATGAGTGGTTATATTTTACCAGACAATATCATCTTTATTACGTTTTGGTTGTTTTACTTTGCCATAAAGAAAGAAAAAATATTTTTAATGAAGTTTATTTTTAGTTATTATTTATTTTTTTTTAAACCCATCAAACTTTCCGCACTTTTTCTAAAACAAATTAGGCCATACAAAATATTGCTTTCGTTCTCAAGTGAAACAAACAAAAATTTTATTTTTTTTCTAGCGAGAAACAATATTTTGAAAATGATTTAACAAAATGATCGCAATGAATTATGTTCAAGCTAGCGGCATTATTTTTTTTAATTAATGGAATGTTATGAACATTATGTGATCCATGCAGGCGATAGTACAGTAACAGTAGCACAGCCTGCTATTAAACTTGTATTTAAAGCTTGATGTCAAACCATATAATTGTAAGGAGCTAAATAAAGGCAACAGTAGTATACCGCTGTTCGAAATTCATAAATCGAATGAGAAAAAAACAAATCCGGGTTACAAACTAAAACTGAGGGAGACACATCAAAGTTAAGAGGAGAACTACGACACAACAGAAACACAACACTAAAATGTAACACACACAGAAACGAACTATAATATAACAATGGTCATTTTCCTGACTTGGTACAGGACATTTTATTAAAAAAAAATGGTGGGTTAAACCTGGTTTTGTGGCTAGCCAAACCTCGCACTTTTATGGCAATGTTAAATATAACAATAAAATGACACCATTACATGACATGAATACAGTACAACATTACGGACAGAGAATTACGCAAATAAACAATACAATATAGTACATTTGGACAACGAAACAACAGAAACACTGAAGTGAACAAACAACAAACGACAATGCAACACACACAGAAACAAACTATACGATAACAATTGCCATTTTCCTGACTTGGTACAGGACATTTTTAAGAAAAAAATGGTGGGTTGAACCTGGTTTTGTTGCTAGCCAAACCTAAAATCTTCTAATAAAGTACAACTAAAATACCGAACTCCAATCCTTTTTCAATCATTTTTGAAAATACACACTCGATTTGAATTTCATTCTTTTAGTGATTCCTCACTCTTATACATGACTATAACAAGATGTGACTATTGACAACCGAACGTTAAGCAAGCAATCTTTCAAATACATAAATGTGAATAAAACTAATCGATGCATTGTAGAGCGCAGCTTTATTAAGATTTTGAACAATATATTTACTGGAAACACATTGTTGAATATCTAAATTGACAATCGTATTGAGAAATAAAATAAAAATTCATATTTATGATAAGCTGCACAATTATAAATTATTTTAAAATTTTAAATATATCGTTTGTCCATCGTTCATGTTGTCGTTTTCGTCTTATATATAATTAACCTGAAAATATAAGAGAAAATATTAATATTGATACACAAAGCATATCAAATATGTACGCCAAAAATAATAACAGGTTATTCAGAAATGTCACACTCTCAGATAAATAAAGCATAAACTTTTGCTGATTTGAAGGAGAAAGCCTTGTATGATTACATCTACGCGAGAATTCGAGTTTACAAAATGAGCATTGTCACAATCTCTGACTAGAATGTGCTGAACCTGAAATAATTCTCCTTTATATTTGGTTTTAGATAAGTGCACTAACAGTTTGAATAGGTTTCCAGACTTAATCCAGTGTCTACCAGAATATAATTGAAGTTGCTATAAAGGTTTTGGTTTGCGTAGACGATTCAGCAGTTTATATTTGACCTTCTTTTATTGTTATTCTGTTATCGCCTTGAAAATTAATGAAAGACTTATCACTGTAACGCGACTGTACCGCATGCACTTCATCATATGTGTGAATATTTAAGAACCAATTAATTGTGTTTTGGATGTATAAAACGCAATCATATCTAATTCAATTTGATTTAATTATTTTATTTAAGGCACATGATCTGACACTACCAATTTTCACTGCTCTGCTCTTAATAGAAGAATTCAATTGAGAAATTTGCCTACTGCCTGTAGTACCACAAACCAATTTCCGTTATGTCAGCTTTATTTTATTCTTGAACTTAAAATACTGATAAATTGTTATCCCTTCTGCTATTAATGAGTATTCTAGCTTTGCACTTTAAGCAAAAAACAACCAATCAGTAAAGCACATAATACTTACATTGTCCTTCTGTCAAGACCATATGGTCAATAGCTATGTCTCCTTTAGAAGTGCTGCCTATAAATCCTGTTATTGAAATCTGTAAAATATCATGACAACTTGCACATTTAAATTTCCTTCAAAAGTAAATTTAATAAACTGAAATTTGGTAAAAAGCCATGTTTCTTACTTTAACCTTTTTAGCTGTTTCAAAGTAAATAAACTAAAATTCCTGTGCATAAATACATCAACAGAACATTCATTTATTGGTTAAAAAGTATCAATTGCAGTTGTATATTACATGTAATAATCATATGTTGTATTATATGACAAAATTGACAGTTGTTTTCCATTCATTTGATGTGTTTGAGCTTTTGATTTTGCCATTTTATAAAGGACTTTCCGTTTTGAATTCCCTAGCAGTTCAGTATGTTTGTTATTTTACTTTCTATTAAGACTAAAATTCAAGGTAACAAACAAAACTGGTGTGTCGACATGATAATCCTCTCTTGTTATGCATGATAAACCGCCATGCAAATCTACACTCGTCAAGATATCAAGGTATATCGCAATCGGGAATAGGAAACATATTAAATTTCAGTTAAATTATAGATCAGACGACTATTTTGGTATTTAAAAATCCAAGACCACAACAAGATGTCGATAATTAGTTGACACTGACACATCAACAAATGGATGGATGGCTGTTTAACGTCCAGTGGCAAATTAAATGCATATTCAGGACGAGAGCATGATTTTATTTTTTTTTTTTTACAAACGACACTTCGAAATTTCTTGACCAATTCGTGATGGTGACAATAAAACTACAATAAAATATTCAAAAAAAGCGCTTCGGACGCATGCAGCTTATATAGCATTATTTTCATTTGCCATCATTTGGTCGAAAACACTTTTGATGGACTATGATTTGTATTTCCATCTGCTTGATTCGAGCGGCACTGATGAGTCCTATGTTTGGAGAACCAATTGATAAGCCTGGTATATTTGATGAGATTTTAGTCACCGAGGGTATCACCAGCTCATGCAAAATTAAAGCGCTTCTGTAATTTCATGATTTTCAACCTACTATTTTAAATATACTATATATATAAAAGTTTATATACACCGTTGACAAATAAAGAAAAACATTCAGAAACTATGGTCAAAACTCCCTCAGGCAAAGTTGAACTAGATACATGTGGCTATAATTGGTTCCTTTTTGTCGTACAGCTCCTGGCGGTTCTACATATTTACAAATCAATGGTTTTCAAATATTCTGGTTTGATTGTTTCTAATGAAAAATGGCTACGGACACACTTAGTTTATAAAGTGTTATTTTCATTTAAAGGATCCGGGTATTATTTTAAATCAGGCAGTTATACAATACAAAATGAATATGACCCATCTAGAGGTCAGCATTGTCTTCAGAAATAGATAAGTATCTATAAAATATGTCAATATTTAAAATTTCTCAAAATCTTAAAAGAAATTTCAAAATGTTAAGTATATTAAACATGTGCCTTCAAAATTAAATTATAGTAGAGATAAGTTAAGTCAAAATGAAAGGCCATCAGGTCTGGAGATAGGCAAGGTAAAATGTTGTAGGGTTGAATTTGTTTTTAAACTCGATCCCTCCCCTTTTATACGAGGTTGATATGCACATTGTATTAGATGGAACTGGTATTCGACAGGTAACGCGGTCAACCAAAAAATAGTTCTTATTCATTTTCGCATAATTCACTCATCGATTGAACATCGAAGATTGGACAAGGTCGTTTATAAACGCAATGTGTACATACCACTGGGTCTGAAATCTGCGGTATGTTGATATTGGCGATAAACCAATCATCCCCTTGATGTCCTGAATATGTCACTTCACCATACCAACTACCAGTACGTTCTTCAGCTGAAATGACTAATTCACCAGGTTGTCCCCTCATGTTGATAGAGAATGAAAGACAATATGCAGAATCTGAAATCAAAATATTTGAGTTTAAAGTATGTAACATTCGGAATACAGTATATAGATATACGAGGGAAAAAGATTGAGACGATACACAGTGGGAAATAAAAAGGCGAAGAAATGTAGGCAATAGTTGATTAATGATGTTCAGATCAATAAATTGTCGGAGAAGACACAAACAAGGTAACAATAACAAACTGGTGGAATCAAAAGAGTGAGACCGGGTTCATCGAAAGGGTTAGCGTCTCTCCTGCTATGCATACATCACTCACTATGCGCATCGAAGCTCATTCAAAATGTCCCAATCACGGAAAGGACACAATCTGTAAAATTACAGAGCATACGACTATACTTGTAGCTAAAGACCGCTTATGTCGCTAGTAAGATGAGACACAGACAGGGAGTATTAGTCAACCAACTCGTGATGATGATCGTACAACTCATGTATTTTCGATTTTAGTCGTTTCTTTCTGTTATCGAAGTCCTCATAGTGTGGATATGCACGAGCATAACGTATTAACTGAGATATGTTATGTTAACGTAACTCAGTTTGAGGAATTTAGGTGCAAGGAGCACACCACTGTTATCGAAGTCCTCATAGTGTGGGTATGCACGAGCATAACGTATTAACTGAGATATTTTAACGCTATACTACGGAACAGAGAAGATGTTATTGCTCAGAAAAGGGACGTCGAAAATTAAAAAAAATAAATTATATCTTCACGTTTGTTTAGATTCTAGTTTGAAGTAGACCATCTTTGTCAATATCGAGTAAAATATCAAGATACGAAGTAGACCTATTAATTTAGATTGTATCCTTTATATCAAGTTTACTGGAATATATGAAGTGTAAGCAATCATTGAAAGGTGGGTTATTGAGTTATAGGACATCATCAATTTATCTGATAGTAAAATTAAAGAACCTTGCAAGATGTTTTCTTTTTCATTTTGTGTTTGAGAAGGTTCTGTAGGAATTCTGTGTCATATGAGCACAAACAAAATTGACCAATAGAAGTGCACAATTAGGTCCCACTGGATAACGAACCGTCAGCTAACACATCAATCCATCAAACTTGTTGTCGATAAAACAAATCCAGCATTTTGATGATATCATCTTCGGCGTATTTGTGGTGGGAATCAGTGGGATTCTTAACTATGACACATAAAAACAAAACTATTGAAATCATGATTTAAACTTCAGTTCGAACAATATTATTTCTTTTAAAAACGAAAAATTAATATTGTGTTGAACTTAATCGTCTAATGTCTAATATAAAATTATTCTAACATATTACTTGATATATTTTATTTCGTTGGCTTGTCTTAAACTTTACAAAACGAAAACATGCAGTTTTGTACTAACAAAAACTGATCTACGAGGCCGTTCTTTTTTTCATGTGGAAAAAAAAATTGTTGTTTAAAGTTGTTGCGCATCAAATGTGCACATATTTGCCCGGTTCAAAAGACGATTTAAAAGATAAAGTTTCAAACCATGTTTTGGACTTTCAATCGATTTTAATTTGGGCGTATTGGTGGATCAAAATTACAGAAAAACGTGTATGCAAACTCAAATCCAAATCATATGAGTATTACCTTTGAGTCTATATTTGTAAGTATCCATTACTGCGAAATCGCCTTGTATCCGAGGTGAGGATGCCTCTGTATACATATAGAAGGATCCTGATTCTGCCCCATTTAAAGGTCCTGTATTAACGCTCGATGTCGTACCCTATTAATAAAGAAATTGAACTGTAAGTAAGCTTTTCCTCTAGCAAGGCATATTATTGTGCGAATCAAAGAATATTATTTCATAAGACAATTGATGCCACTGGCGTAATATTGTGTTGACCAAGTGGCATGGTTATATGGGAATGATATGGTTTTGTTTTCTTTCTAAAAAGTGTATAGCATGTAGTCATAATAGAAATAAAATCATGCAGAAGAAATTGAATAAAAATGAAAAAAAATATGTATAACCATTTCAATTCAACGGAACGAGATATCTGCCAGTTATTTCTTCTACCATCTTCGTGCTTAAGCTTTTCGTATATGTATCAAACAATACACATCCATAAAACATGACTACAGTTTCGCATCATTCCCTAACCAGACCAAAGATATACCTTCCATCTACATTTTATATGTTTGGTGCGATATATGCATTCCGAAAAAACTCTTCAACGTCATAAAAAGTGAATGTACACCACTGTGTAGTCCTGAACTGGTAGTGCATTTGCGCATATAAAAAATCTTGCATATAGCAAGAAAATATGAGAACTAACTTGATAGTCAATAAACCTTTGTCTGAAACCAATGTAAGTTAATATTTTACGATGACAAGAACACCTTCCCTAGCAGTAAAAAATGCACATTCACTAAAATAACTTATGATAATATTTTCTTACATGAAAGTACATTTCAAAAATAAGTTCCGCATGTGTTTTATCATTAAATATGAATGCTTTTACAAACCCCTAATCACTGCATAAAACATCATCAGAACGATCAATTAGTTCTGAGATCAAAATATGGTTGCAAATATATGACATCAAATAAGGAAATATGGTATGATTGCATGCCAATTCGATGATGGTACAAAAAAAATAATATATGGAGGTATGTTTACTCACTGTTCGTCTCCTCCAATCAAAATCATCGTAAAATAAATCATTTTCAAATATACAACCAACTTCATTGTCCTCGAAATCACATGCTATTGATGTCTCTAATCTTTTGTCTGCAATGAAAGAATGTAAAATCCCAAAGTTTGAAATGACTAATATAGTATATTCAAAATAAATTCTTTCTATGCCTATTTTTATCATTTCTTGAGCTGGGACACTATGTTACAGTTTTAATCAAGAATCTAACCCTTATTATTTTATAACTGTGGTAGCATGATTTTGAATTGTCTATTGTTGTTTGCATTTTGCTTTACGTTAAATGTCAATTATGGCATGCATTCCTTAACTGCACAACCCTTATACATGGGATATACGCTAAATTTATAGCAACTAAACGACACAATAAAATAAAAGACATCCAACATCTGATCCATTAGTCTGTACAATTAATAGCTGTTGATATAGTTAGTTGTATTACACGTTTATGAATCATGGATGAAGATTAGCTTTTACTTAAGGAGTTATGTGCCCTTGATGTGCCAAGTCCAGGTTTTCAGAGCTCTGAGTAAAAACTTAATTTCCATAAATTTACTCATCTTGTTGCAGTAATTTGTGGATTAAAACAGTGGTATTGACTCTGTTTCTAGAATTCATAGATTTATTTGCTGGAACCTTATATCTAGAGAAGATATTGTTGTGTTTTTGTGAGTTACCCGTGAGTTGTTTACATGATTTCATAATGATGGAAGATTCTCATAAAGCCCAACTCAGGCGACACTTATCTATTCACTTGGGTATTAGTTTCGTCAAGGGTACTACACATACTGATGTATTAAATGAACTAACAACTCTAGTAGACCAAAACGCAATACAAACCATACAAATTACAGAGAAAGAATGTATAGTTACAGTACACGACCAGAACACAAACAATACATTACTCACACGAGGAATAAACTTAAAAAACCGTTACATCAAAATAGATGTAGAAAAGCAAGTTACAAATGTGACTTTAAAAGATGCCCCGTGTGAAATGAGTGACATTAAAATATGTGGCCATATTTCAAAATTTGGTGATGTTGTGCAGGGGTCCATCCGCAGAAGTCTGTTTAAAGATACGAATATCGAGACCGGTACACGTTATGCGCAACTGACAAACTGCATCCCAATAATTCCAACTGCAACCAAATTCGAGAGATTCAGTGTCCATGTATTCGTGGACAATAACAGGCCAGAGTGTCAGTACTGTACGAAAACAGACCATCCATCTTCTCGATGTGCATACAAACCTACCCGTCAAAATCAAGTAGCACGCAAATGTTATCGATGCATTATTACTGCACATACAATAAGATTGTCCCCACTCCGAAAAAATATGCTATTTGGTGCGGGAAAGAAGGTCATATTAAAGGGATTGTCAGACTGATGATCAAGAAATGTGTGGTGGCTATTTGCATGACATTCAAGAAGACAGAGACGCAAACAACTGATTTTATCGAGGACAATAACACAGAGGAAGTTAATGTTGAATTAAATTAAACAACTGGAAGTGTGTTTGAAAATAAAAAAGCTACCCTCCCGTCTCCTCAAACAGTTATACTTGGTGCATCCAATTGCAGTCGCGAGGGGCCTCGGTGGCCGAGTGGTCTAAGTAGTTACTACTGTAATCACTAGCCAGTCAACACTGAGGTTGTGAGTTCGAATCCCGCTCGTGCGGGAGCACTCGACTCCAATCTTAATTGACTAGGATTGTCAGTTTTTCTATCGAAGGTCGGTGGTTTTCTCCGGGCACTCCGGTTTCCTCCACCAATAAAATCTGGCCGCCACGAAATAGCCCAAATGTGGTGCTTAAAAGTGGCATTTAAACACCAAAAATCAAATTAAATCAATTGCAGTCGCCTTAGAAATTTAGAAATACGTTCGAAACTTTTTGGAGAAACTGGAAATTAAAAACAAATCAGTTCGAAAATAATCTTGAATGGTGGGAGGAAACTAAGATAAAAATAAAAAGTATTACTATAGAAGTGGCAAAGCAATTAAATGTTACAGACAAATAAATAAGGGAGTAGGACAAAAGATTGGATAATATTACGGGAACTGATCCATTCAATAATGAAAACGAGTTAAATAATTTGAAAGCTAGAATTAATGATTTTTACGACAAAATAGCCGAAGCAGCCAGAATCAGGTCTAATGTTAATTGGTATGAGAAAGGCGAAAAAATCTACAGACTACTTCTTTAAACTCGAAAAAAAACAGGGGGCGCGGAAAAATTATTGACTAGTATAAAGCGTTCAGATGGAAGGTATAAAGATGATATTGAATCTATTCTAGAAGAATAAGTAGCTTTCAACAAACAATTATTTACGTCCGAGGGGTGGGATAGGGATGCTGCAGAAAATCTATTACAGACTCTAGATCATGAATTTATTGAAGAAAAATAAAAATATGTGTGAAATGATAATAACTTTTGATGAAATTACTAAGGCCATTAAAATGTTGAAAACTTGATAAATCATCTGGGGAAGACGGAATTCTGGATGATTTATAAAACGTATTAGTATTTGATAAGCGACGATTTCGTGGCGGTTATTAAGGAAATGTTCGACGAAAATTGGCTCTGTGAATCTCAATACAGAGGTATGATAAGGCGTATGTTTAAATCTGGGGAGAAAGAGGACATAAACAATTGGCGTCCTATAACGCTGTTAAACACAGACTATAAAATCATATCTAAAGTACTTGCGGAAAGGTTAAAAAGTGTACTACCGCAAATAATTAATTTGGATCAAAATGGTTTTGTCAAAGGGCGCAATATTTTTCAAGGCAATAGATTACTGCAAGATATAATAGATTTTTACGAATTATAAAATAGTGAGGGTGCAATCTCTTTCTTGGACCAACAAAAAAAAATTGATAGGGCGGAGTTGGAATAGATAGATTTTTGTTTATTTAAATCTGGCTTTGGGGAAAAATTCAGAAGTTGGGTAAAAATGCTTTTCATTAACGCTAAAACGTGTATTCAAACGAATGGGTTTACTTCTAGATTTGTAAGCATACCTCGTTCAATTCCTCAAAGATGCACACTTGCTCCCATGTTATATATTCTGCAAGCAGAACCACTTGCAGCATCAATTAGAAACAACCCGAATATATAGAAGGAATAAAACTTCCGACTAGAACCGGGGACTATTTTGAAAAAAAGCTAAATATGTTTGCTGATGATGTTAAGCGGCGTTAAGCGGCCTGTAAAAGCATTAGGAGTTCAACACGAATATGGGGTGGATTTAGATCAAATTTGGTTAGAAAAAATAAATAAAATATGTACGGAGGTTTGGAAATCAATAGATCTCACATTTACGGGAAAAGTTTTAATTATTAAATCATTTGTACTGTATATCATTGGATACGAAATTGAAATGATAGGTATTCCTGATATATTCGAAAAACAAATAGATAATATTATACAGTCCTTTATATGGGACGGAAAAACAAACTAAATCGGAACACAGTGTGTTGTTTACCGAAAGAAAAAAGAGGGGATAGGAATGATAAACTTTAGGACCTTTATAAAATCAAAACAGGTGAAAAGTATGTATAGTATTGTAAACTCAGAAATATAAAAAATGGAATACAATAGGTAAATACTGGTTTACGTCACTAGACGAATAAATATGATACAGACTTTTTTCTATGTTCTTGTTCGGACACTAGAGGTATTGGGCAAATAAACATGTCTAAATTATAAAAATCTTTTTACTTTCTGGACCGACTTGCAGACAACTCAAATTCCGCCACGAAAGAGGACCTTATAGAAGAAAATATATTTGGCAATTGAAAATTCAAGTCCAAGGGTCATGCTTTATATCACATATGTTATGCAAATTTTGCCTCCAGTGGAATAAAAAAAATAAAGATATATGGGATTTAAACAATAAATCTTTTAAAACTTCTCTCGAAAATTTTAACAAGCTAACAGATAAAAGGAACTGGATAGCACAATATAGCCGCATTAAAGCTTCATTAACGCCTGAACAAATTGACCTTTTAAAAACAGACACCCTCGTGTAAAGTAATTCTGGAAGACTTATGAAAATAATAAATTCTTATCAATTTAGAAAAAATGGAGTTGTTGTTGATGCCAAAAAAATGTGCCTTAAAGATACTCGATACTTTAATGAAAGTAATACAACTCCAAATAGTCAGTTCAAGTGGAATATACATTTTGGGAAGAAACTACCATGGGGAGATATTTGGAACAATTTGAATATGAATTTAGCTAACAGGAAAGTGAAACAATGGAAGTTAATTCATAATATAATTTACACGGAAGAAAAATGACAAAACAATTAATCGCTCAAACGGAAAGTGTCACTTTTGTAATGAAAATGAATCACTATTTCATCTTTTTATATACTGTAAACTGGTGGAAGAAGTTTGGCGGGAATTTTTTTTTAAATTGAGTATTGGAAAATTACAAAAATCGGAAATGAGTATTATTTTGGGTGTCATTAAAGCAGATATATCTTATTTTCAAATTGTAGATACGGTGCTTCTAATCACGAAATAGGTTATTTAAAAAACTAGAAACATCGCAAAATATCAAAAGAAAAGGATAACAAAATTGAGGATTTTGAATATGATAAAACATGAAATGGAATTTTTGTTCAAATCTCTTGAGCAAAATACGAAAAATGAAGCCTTATCTACTATGTGTGAGACTTTTTGTAGATAACTTTATATTTTTGCGTGGTCACGGTAGTGTAATGACCACTTCAATACTGAATAAATTATCATATACATTGCAATCAACTTCCCCTATGTACTATGCATTTTCTATTTTGTATATAAGCTATGTCTATTATTTACTTGTAACAAAGACAAGTTGTATCAACAGGTACGTATTATAAGCAAATATTTACTTACCATATCTTGAAATAACATCTTTTTGGAAAACAAAATTATAAATCCCACTTTTTATGAATGAATTCACATTTCCTTTCAAATAATTTTTAACGAGAAGCAAGTGGCAAAAGATCACTCGACCAGAATGTAATAGAAATTAGCATAACAAAAGAACGAAATGAAGTGCTATAAAATCGACACTGCTTAATATATATTTACAGGTAGCTCTTTTGAGAAAAACATATATAGATACAATGAATACATTATTCAAATGATCATATATGGTGTGATGTGTAAATATATAGATAGATGATAATTATATATATATATGTTTATTATTTGTAATTGGAGTTTTTTTTCTATTTTGCATTTTCCCCGACAAATGAGACTGTAAAAATTTGGGCCCCCCTTAGATACTTCCCTGGACAACTTCGGGTTGACGTACCAGGTAATAATCAATAAGATATATTTAAAATTAAAAAAAAAAGATTAGCTCTTATTTTGTACCATAATAAAATGGGATACATTGATTGATCATGTTGAAAATATCTACATATTAATCACTGTTATAAAACCCTCACATTAATGTTAGAAGTTGAAGTATACCTATTAACTGACATTCGGAACCAGTAAATCCAGATTCACAACTACATTGATAAGTGCCGTCCTGGTTCCCTGTACATATTCCACCATTTTGACAAGGAAAGCTGCCACATGGAGATGAACCTGATATTTGATTAAAAGAAAGCATGATTATGTAGGAACAATTATTTGCACTGACCCCCCTCCACCAATAAATTGATTACATTGTTTAATATCTTTTGATACTAGTGGTGTTATATGTTTAAAATTAAGAAAGCACAAAAAATCTTGTTGATAAAGTCGTTTATTTAATATTTAAATTGATTATAATAAACAAAGTTTCCATGATTCTTTTCAGCACCATGTTCATTGTTAAGGTTAATTACATGTACTCACAAAGTCCCTTCTGTAGAGTTATCAAGTCAATTCCAATGTCTCCCTTACTGGTAGGTCCTCTAATACCTTTTATTGAGATCTAAAATTTGGATAAAACTTCAATTAGATGACAAAATATGTTGAAACTATGATCATAGGGTGCTACATATAATCATAATCAACGAGTAAAATTTAACTGAACAAACTCATCACCATTAAGTCATTCAATGCCGTAGTCAATAATAGTTTGTTTTTGATATCCGTACACTATTTAGAGGGTACCTTGGGTTTCGAAATTTATTGAAATATATACAAGCGTTTTCGACCTTCGTCCTGGTCCACCCACATTAGAGATGCTACCTGTTGTATTTACTTTTATTTGTTTATGTCTGGTATACGCACGACATATTTGTAATTGGTCGTTAGGACCACTAAGTCATACATACACTATATAAAACGGGTCAGAAAATTAATCATAAATAAAATTTATGAGAAATTTTACATACATGTTGTATAAGCGATTATTTCAATAATTTTAGAATTTGGGCGTTTCCTTTTAAAATGTATTGAAAAGACGATACAATATGATTTTTGATAAGAGACACCTACTACTGCATCTGATAATTGCGGTATCTGAATAATGCTCGAATTCCATTGGTCCCCTTGGTTTCCACTCCATATTTCAATTTGATTTTCACTGTTTCCTCTTTCACCTGCATTGATGACTAAGGAACCAGGATCACTATACATGTGATAGTGATATTGCATACACAATGGTGAATCTGAAAGAAACAGGTGAGTTAACAGTCAAAGTATGAATTTATTAACAAATATAACAATAATAACAAATATCATAAACCTATTGTATTTTTAATTTATAAATAGTTTTTGCTGTCTAGGCTCAGTTGAATTAGAAAAAAATATATATTGCGATTTGTTATTATTTTTTGATTGGCTGTCCTAAGTACTTCTGGATTCTTAAAATTTGAGCAAAGTGGGTTTTCATTCAAAACACAATCCTTTGTTTTGTCTGTCATACATGTCATGCATGCTTCTTATTTTTCAAATACCAATAATTTTTATTTAATAAGCAGTACATTTATCGTCATAAACGTATCTTTTCTTACTACATTCATTACAAACCATATTTAAGCATCAGATGTTATTAATTATTCTTATTTATGAGAATTAAGAGTCATCAAACAATTAAACATGAAACCTGGTAGTTTGAATGTTGAGGAAGTAAAAGTTGCCACATCATTTGGCTGCCTGGGTGATGATGCTTCAGTAAAAGCGTAGTATTCTCCAGAATATGCGACATCAGGGCCTGTACTAGAGCTTGGTGTTTTGACCTAAAAATGTAAGTTTAGCTCATAAATTAATTTTGAAAGCACAAATATATGTCCATATGTAGTACTTCAGTTACCGTGTATATTTACATTTAGTTAGCCACATGTGTCTTTTTTATTATTTATATTGACGTTATTTTCTAAAATAAAATGTTTAAGATTTAAAACAATCATGCACCAAAGAACGTCAAAGAAAATTTTTTTTTTTGAGGGGGGGGGGGGGGGCGAAATGGTAATTGCTTTGTTCTGCTCAGTTTAAGCTACTAATTGCATACGGTATTCACGCCGTCTTGATAATATTACGTAACACATATCGGTTCTCGTTGGTTTCCTTATAGGTTGCAATTCTGTAAATACAGACAATGCAATTTCCCATAGGAACTCCCTTTGCGGCATAAACTGTGACACTTTTACTATGAAGTTTCGTGAAAAATAATATCCCAGAACGGAAAGTTTATATGCACTACTATTTTATTCAAAGGTCAAAATATAGGGCTGTGCGGCATATTTTCAACATTTATATGCCCTGAACTTCTAAGAGTTTAAACTTATACTAAAATTCTATACTACCCTTACCTCCATTTTTGGACCTCCTAAGAATTAAAATTTAGCCGCTACCATGTTTTTCTATACTGGTTACATTCCCAAGTGATGTCTCTATGAGATGAAACACAGAGATCATCAATGGGAACCAGTACGTTAACAAATTAACATACCTATGAATATTAAATATCTCCCCAAAAGAGGCGTGGTTTGAGAAACAGCTGTATTTACAAAGTGCAACCTATACATGTTATAATGTTGGGAAGATTCTATGGGCTAGAATGATATATAGAAATGTCCCGGACAGCAGAAGATATCAAATACGAGGCAATACGGTATGGGTATCAAAGATCCGATCTGCTACCCAATTTAAGATTAATATATCCTTTATTGGTTTACCTTTCTATATAATGTCGTGTCAACTTCATATTGATTAATAGGTGCAGGAAGTTGATTTTAATTAATTGATAAATTTGAATTGATAAGAATAAATGAGTACTATTTTATATTTGATTTGCATCACATCATAAGTTTCTTTCAATTTTGATGCCGTTTTAAAGGTTTAACTAAAATGAGATATATATATTGAAAATATTTCCCGAACAGTAGCAGATATTGAAGACGGAAGAAAATGAATAAATTTACAGTATGGGGCTCAAGACTCGATCAACAATTATTGCTTCCTGATGACGTAATTTCTGATACTGCAAAGAACTTCGTTATCTATTTATAAAAGTTAAACTTGATTGCAATTACGTTTATCAATCTTACATTTGTTAGTGTCCAATCAAAAGTATCTCCAGTTGGCGTATTAGTAAAAACACACTCATTTTCGCCTGGCGTAAATTCACATGTAAATGTAACTCCCGTTGTAACGTCTACAATAAGATAATTTATTTCGATATAAAAGAAAATTTGATAATACAATATACAGTTATTGCTTACATGGGAACATCGTTAAAATCAAATGTTTTCTTAATTATGGATTTGCTTTGTGAGGTAAGTGATACAAAAGCAAACTGGAGTTGAATCGCACCGCAAAAATCAAAACGAAACTGCAAACAATTTTTTCATATGATATATAATTTGTAACTTAAGTATATAATTTTCATTTGAATTTCTTCAAATTATTGTACCGTTTGTAATCTTATATGGCTCATTATCATGTACGCGTGATGACACTGAAAAGTGAAATAATACATTCCAACCTAATATGATTATCCTGTTTACACAACTAATTTCGGTTTTTTTCTTTCATTTGTTGAAGTTTGTTGAAATTCCTTTGTCGACACTGACTAAGGTATAATGCTTGAATGTCTAAATTAAAAAAAAAATATCTTGAGAGTCTATTCAATGAGTTTTTTGTTCACGTCTTTTATATGACGTTGACTCTTCCCAATCGTATTTTGTAACATCGGAAATATATTGACCAAAGCAAACTGCCCGACTAATCAATGATTTCATATTCAATATATGCAAAAATTAATTTTCGAGCATCAAATGAACAAAAGTCGATAACAAATCGTAAGATATTACACATTTTCTAAATATTTAACCAAGTTTGTTACAAATAGTAAATCGGTTTGTTTTTTGTTTGTTTCATGTTCTAGTATACACACGTTTTGAACATACCAATACAAGATATTTGGATCGCAAAATATGTTTAACTTCATACCTTGTAGCTGGCATGTATCACCTACCCATCCAGATGTACATGTGCATGTAAAGGTACCATCACTGAAGTTCGGGGAGCACTGTCCGCCATTTAAACAGGGTGATTGCCCACAGGGATCTATGTTTGAACCTGAAAAAGGTATTTATAAATCTAAAAATTAGATTATTAATCTAGACATAAGAATAAGTGTACAATCTTTTCTTTAAAACAAATAATAGCGTTGCCCTTGAGAAATAACAATTCTTCAACTCCTGGTGTAGATACAAATGTAGTTGCATTTCAAAATAATTTGAACAGGAAAGCGATTTGAAACCTGATTGATCCAGTATAGACATAAAATTTCCATTTATCAAAAAATTTAAAAAAAAAAGGATTAACAGAGGGTAAAAGGAACTATAGTAAACTGTCATACAAGATGATGGTTTAGATATTTTTTCGAAACCAGTTTTAACCCACCATATATATTGCACTGTTAATGTACTGTGTATCCAAATTACCCTCTTTATTGCTTTGAGATAGTAAATCACCGACTAAGTCTACGTATGTATCATGTGTTTTGTTGGTTGGTCCTGTAACAGAATTATGGCTTTATTGTAAAAATGCATTATTAAATCAATAAATTTTACTTACAAGGCCCTTTCGTGAGTGAAATACTATCCACGCCTATATCTCCTTGCCAGCTTGTTCCTATAACTCCTTTAATTGAAATCTGAAAGAAAGGCTTCAATGATGTATGTTAAAAACAAGAAAGTGTTACAAGATCTTTGTAAAAAACTTTCTAAAAGAATACACAGAATACAGATTAGTAGTACAAAAAAAAAATGAATTGTTGACTAAGGTCATTTTGAAAAAATTAAGAAATGAAATATCTCACAGATGACCCTTATAAAAAGTATATCATATTATACGAGTAGTTTTTTCCTATTCAGTATAAACCGTTCACTTGATCCCTGTCGGAACTTTTTTGTTGTCTGTATCCCGTTAAATGTAGGTCAGCTTAAGCAACAGAAGTTGATTCCCTGTAAGTGCGCAAATAAATTTAATAATCTTTATATGATGAATACGACAAAAATAATATATATATGTATATATATATTATTCATATTAACACAAATACATTTGTAGAACAGTAAACAAAACACGAACAATAAAATTGAATCTACCATGTACCGTATTATCCAAAACAGTTCTGACTTGCTGATACATTTTGACAGAAAAAGTGATGTGATTGAACTTTTTGTGCGATTCACGATGTTTAAATCACTGTTTATATATAAACAATCACTAGTCATTATCTATAATTGTGAACTTGATATGATAAAAGAAACTGAAAAATTTAACTTCAAATGTAGTAAATGTATCAAAAATGAGAAGATGTGGTATGATCGCCAATGAAGCAACTCTCCACCAGACACCTAATGACATCTTAGTCTTATATACTGACCACGAGATCGTTATACGGAGTAATTGTTGTCTGTGTCTGTTGCCACAAATCCCCTTGGTCACCAGTTTTAGTCAAAATTGAGTTCATATTGCCATTTCTTTCACCAGCTGATACAACAAAACTGCCAGGATTCCCAAACATGTGAACGGAAAATGACAAACAGAATGCGCCACCTACAATAAAACGTTGACATGAACATGTATCATACATTATGCAAGAGAATAATGGTGTTATGTCCATTACCATAACAAATCTTCAATGACGTGATGGTTTCTAACGTCAGTTACCATACAATTTAGGTTATGTATTCCCGTTTTTATTTACCGATAGTGTCGTATTTTTTATTGTGACATTTTGACCGAGTGTGGATTTGCACGACAGGTGATGCGTGCAAAGCAGAAAAACGCTTATCATTACACCAACTTATTGGAAGTATGTAGTTTGTATTATGCCCGAATCTTTTAAGATACTCAGCATTTATGTTTGCCTATTCAATATTGCTATGTTGTTTGTTTGTGTTTTGATTTTCGTCTGAAGGACGACATACTTGGAAGTTTATATTTAGTCGTGTCCATGACTGCAACGTCATCTTTATCACTGGGTACAGAGGCCTCCAGATACATGTACTTCGTCCCAGAGGCAGCGGCAGTTGGACCTGTTCCACTACTTGGTGTAGGTCCCTGTGTTAAAAAACAAAACAAATTTGATATATTTATCATATATAAGATTATGCCGTTTCTTGTAACACATTCTCTCTCAACTTCACTTCGTCCTTTATTTGGCCTTTTAAGTTTTTTTTTATTCGAGCATCACTCATGAGTCTTTAATAGACGAAACGCTTATCTACAATGTAGTGTACAAATTATAAGCCTGGTATATTGATGCAATTGATATTTCTATGTCTCTCCAGCTAGTTTCATAATATTTCTTTAACAAATTCTGCCCATGAAACAAAAACAAACAATAGAAATATTCTTTTATGATCATCGATTTGTCATTTACGACGACCTCTTTTACTTTTAAATTAGGATTTTCATCATTGAGTCTAAAATTAAACAAAACGCCTTTAATTTAATAAAAAATAAGCTATTTGTTGTGACTTACCTCGATTGGACGCCAATCAATATCATCCCCTTCCACGTTATTGAAAATACAATTTATGTCTGTCTCATAATCACACAGAAAGTTGTCACTGTTAGACTTATCTGTAAATTGATTAAGATTATATTCAAGTATGATATTCATAAGTGCAACAAGTTCAAGTGATCCTCAACCGTCATCATGGATATGATAACAGCCCTTCTTTGTTTTTAGGAACTGTCAAAATAGTAAAATCCGTTAATACTCGTTTCGTTTTCGATAAATACATGATTTTTTCTTTTTTAATTCGTTTTGTTATCATGTCACAGTGACATACAATTTCCCAATCGTGGCATTTGTTACGTTTATAATACTGTGTGATTTTTAAAGGTTATTGTCCAAGACAGGATTTTCCAAATAAATAACAAAATAATCTTATTGATGATAATCTTATTCTTCAGTGTAAAAAACGGAATGTCCTGAGTATTCTATTGGGGTGTGACAATTACGTGTCTAACTAAAACACAGACAGATACAACATTGTAACATTCCATCTGTGCAGTCGATATAGATATTCACCCTCAGTAAGTAACGGAAATACCTTTACAAAAAACATGCAAGGTATATTAATTTTGACATTTTTGTCTGACTCAAGACATTGTTGAAATGGTAGGCTTACATTTTCTATAATAACTTGTTTACTCATTTATTTATTTTGATTTCATCCGATCCTGTAAGACTGCACAATAAATTGGTTATTTATGTTCATTTAGTCTATTTTTAGACATGTTAATTGCGTTAAATTTTATTTGTTTTGAAGTCATTTAACATCGGTTCAGTCTATTTAAAAATCTGCAGTAGCTGATATATATTTGTGTAAAAGAAAGAATACTTTATTGTCTGAAAAGTAACACAGTAATATGCCAGTGCATAATCTGCAAAATAACGTCAAGTTATCTGGTCAGATATTTCTGATGAAATTGCCAATCAGACAGAAGTTTCTTTGTTTCCGGGTGAAAGATAAACGTACACAATCCATCCATACAACCCAATTAATTTTCAAACACGCAGCAGAATTTGCCTTTCCTGAATCTAAAGAGCTATGGGTAATCTAATAATTTGTACACCAAAATGAAGAAAACGTTACGTCAATTGTTGAATTTCCATTGTTCAGGATGTTATAAGCAAATCACAACGTTTTGTTGAATGCTTTTCAAAATTTTACTCAGACTGCATTAGATTCTGAAAAAAATAGGCTGAAGCCCGCCTCCAGGTGCGGGATTTTCTCTATGTGTTGAAGACCCATTGATAGCCTTGGGCTGTTTTCTGCTCATTGGTCGGGTTGTTGTCTCTTAGACACATTCCCCATTTCCATTCTCAATTTTTTAATTATTTGTCCATTTTCACTGAACTAGTACACAATTTTATTTAGGGGCCAGCTGAGGACCACCTCCGGATGCGGGATTTTCTTGCTGCGTTGAAAACCCATTGATGGCCTTCTGCTGTTGTCTGCTCTTTGGTTGGGTTGTGGTCTCTTTGACATCTTCCCCATTTCCATTCTCAATTTTATTTAACAGTATTATAATATTAATTACAAACCTATCACAGAACAGTCATTCTCTAGATAACCCTGGTTACAGTTACATGAAAATGTACCACCAGTACTTAAACAAGTCCCACCCATATTACAAGGCTGACTGTAACATGGATCTACATTGTTACCTGTAAAATTAAAGCATTTTTCATTTTTTCCTTTTTGTCAAAGAAACAAATTAATCAAAGATGCCAGGATAAAAATTTTGTACGCAAGATGCGCGTTTAGTGACTCACCAGTGACGCTCAAATCAAAAAGTTAAACAGACTAAATAAAGTACGAAGTTGAAGAGATTTGAGGACCCAAACTTCCGAAAGTGTTCGCCAAATAAATATGAGGTAACCTATTCCTGGGGGTAATTTATATTTTATAGGAAATACGTGGGAACACTTAAACACTTCATGCTTCCGAAGTTAAATTCTATATAAATGTTTTTCTCTATTTGACTCTATCTCAAGTTTAAAATTTTAAACATATATATATAATAGTCAATTCAGAAATTTAATCATATATCAGTAAATACGTTGTGGCCCATTCAGAGTGATAAGGTTAAAAAATGGTAAAAGCATCAAAGATACTGGTTTAAATCAATGCATGTCATAATCTTTCATTACTGTTAACACTATAAATATTTCGAAAGCTTTATTTAGCGGCACTAAAAGATTACTCTTTTTGTGAATACAATTGTAAAATTTTGTGATAAGGCAAACACGCCTTTGACGGCTGTTGCTCAATGTTTTTTTTGTCTATTCCTAATCGCAAATAGGTAGATTTTGTTCGTTTTTTTGAACAATTGCATTCATAATGTTTTTGGCCAAACAATCTTGAATTTTGCAAGTTGAGGAATTTCTTTTTACCTAGCCTCAGCATGACGGGTGATCTATTTATTAGCAGGAGACGCTTATCTGGTGGATGCATCCGGTCTCGATATTTTGAGAGTACATGCTACTCTCTCTCAGTGGATTAATCTTGATTTGTAAATCAAATTAGGATTTTGGTATACTATTATTGATCTATCTTACATCATTTGATTATTGACACAATTGCGACCAATATTTTCGGATAATATACTTAAATAACTGATGTAATTGTCCAATGAATTTCACTATTGTTTTAAAATTAAACATGAACATCGTAAAACAAGAATTAATAATGTATTTCCTTTGAGAGTACTTACATTTTTATGATAACATATATCATTTTCCATTTCATATGTGAATTGTTGTGTATAATTCAATTCTTCAGTTTTCAGCAAAAATAGGAAATGTCGGTTTATATTCTGCAGTTTGTATTTTGTCTTTCCGTTATAAAACAAAACTTTTAATCGGAGAAAGGTAGATTTGTTAGTTTGATTCAACTTAACACCGAGATAAATAAAATTTTATTTAAAAAAACATTGAAACCTTAGTTTTGACAAATGGTATTCGAAGACGACCATTGTGGAGGCCAGGGGGATTTTTTTTGCGGATTGAACATTCATCTCCATCTGTTTCTACACATGCTTATTTTTTTCCTAAAATTACACACAATTATGTCTGGCATTTTGTTTTGCAGAATTTTCATCCTCCATGGGCAAAATTATTTATGTTCAGTCATTAAAAGGACGGGATATACATTTTTAAAATCCTCGTAACCCCCTGCACTCGAAAATCAAATGATCGTCTCCTTCTTCCAGTAAACTTACTGCATGTTCCTTGATGAACAGTTACATCGTCAATAGCTATATCACCGTGAACAGTGAATCCTTTCGATGCACTTATAATGAGCTGGAAATATAATGTCAATTTTTGATTAAATCTTGTACATTGAAAAACACATTACAAATATAATTGTACAAAACAAAGTAAGCAAATCAAAAGCACCAAAACAGTGGCGGAAAATTAACAGTTATTACATTTGTACTCCTCGTGCAAGCTTTCATATATAAATTCATTTTAGTGTCATTAGTTTGTTTTGAATGAATCAGATTATTGAATAGATCTATGTATTGTTTGATCAAATGTATTCTACCATATCTTTAAACTATACTATTATCTTTATTTCATTCCTTGAATGTTACATGAATGGCAACGTAAATTATACAGACAAGTACCTGAAATATAGAAGCTAGTGTTAGTTCTCTACAAACTGTGAAATATAATTCTAATTGCTATCTTTTTTATCTTTTAATGATATTTGTTATAAGTGTTGAAACAGTCATCAACAATCGACGGGCATGACAATTGACTTTATCTCATAATCTTCAAGATCATGTAAACCATAATAAGTATAAGTACATACACCCGAACTAATATTTCTTATAACCAAATCAGTGCCAGGTAACAGCTATTAATTGTGTAATGATGTTTATATTTAATAAGAATACATTTGAATTGGACTATTTTAAAGCTATTTGAAAATAAAAGAAGAATGTGTCTGAGGACACGAATGCCCCCGCTTAAGCCTTGCATCGAAATTGGTACGGACGGAATGACGGAAAGACGGAATGGACGGACGGTCAAGGTTAACACTTAATACCTTTCGTCCAGTACTGCCAGAGAAGTCAATAGCAGCTGTATACCATACATTTCCTTTATTGCCTGTTTTAGACAGCAATACATTATCTATGTTACTACCAGTACTACTGGTTCCTGTCCCAACAACCAAGTCTCCCATATATCCTTCTTTCCCATACATATGATAAGCAAACGACAGACAATATGCGGGACCTGCAAAAAAACATAACAAGTATAGTGAAATATAATTAGCCAATTTGGAAGCCCTTACAGGTAAGGATTGAATCAAGAGAAGAATCTAATATTGTTCATTTCGTCCGTTTGGGTGTAATGTAAATACACAGTAACCTTCTGGTCCGAAAAGGTATGTTAAAGAACCCTTGGAGCAACTCATTGAGGGTTTTCTTTTCCATACCGGAATTTCTAGAGCTGTTCAAATGTAAAACTACAATTGTTATGATTACACATCTCCAGTGTTCCTCATAAAAATGTGTTCTACTGATGGATCGGAAAAGTCCGTTTAACATACTTTAATACCCCATGACCAAAGAAAAATAAAAAAAAAAAAGACAAACGAGAGTAGCTGCTGTCTGATTTAACCCAGCAAACACAAAAACATCTTTAGAATGTTTTTAAAATGTTGTGTCTAATGTCATGAAAATATCACAAAAAAACGTGAGAAAAACATTAAATGTATGGTAGAATATATATCGCTAAAACGTTTTCTAATATATTTTCTAAAATATTTGCATAATATAATTAAAATGTTGTAAAGAAATATCATGATAATGTGAAAAACAATGGCGTATAAAACATTTTAATAATCTTTTAAAAAATATTTTCTAGAAATATTTCTGAACGTTTGAAAAACATCATGAACATCAAATAATGTTATAAAAATGTTTTTTGGATGTTTTCTTGCAAGTGAGACTGTGCCTAAAAAATGTTTTCAAAATGTTTTAAGAAGATGTTTTTGGTTGATATCAAGATCATATCAATATAAAAATTTCTGTACTTTTGATTGAGTTTCCTGCTTTTTTAAATAACAAATCATTAGTTAAATTAATTTATACACAGTGATTACTTCTATATACAAACAAGAATAAATCAGTTGTTTTGCTAAGCATATGAAATTCACAATTCAGTCTCTAAAAACAAGAAGTATCTACAAATTTTGACACATCCAAAATGGCAGACACAACTCATCATGGTCAAGCCACTTACCAAATATGAAGTCATTCTGTTCATCAGCATTACTAATTAAAGTAATGAAAAATGTGAGAACATTCAACATTTTGAAATATAATGTATAAGCAAACAGGAAACAGGTGCCAGATACAAAAATGTTCACACATCACAGTTCATCACTATCAAGCAGCTCATTAAATATGAACTCATCTTTATCAGCAGTTTTGGGAAAAACAGTGATGAAAATATTTGTTGGACAAAATCCGACAAATATAGGTGAACAGACGACAGACAGTGCAAGAAAGCCCATTATTCCAACCACAATGGTATAATGTTTAGTTTTTCACTCTCAACTTTTATTACCTATCTTATACACATCATGCATATGTCAACCTGAACATGCATGACATATATGCCATTGGACATTATGCAAACATTATACACATTTTTAAGTTAAGTTACATTGACTAAAACTTGTGTCCCAAATTCAGATTTTTCAATACAACTTCTCTTTCTAAACTAAAACGCTACACTTCTAATAGGGTTACATCTTAAGTCAATAATCATTGATAATTGGCTGAAGAGATGAGAACAAAACACCATTTACATCAACTATTTGATTTATTTAAGAATACATTGAAAAAGTCAATCAATTGTCTTATTCAAAATCACTTGGAATGTCTTGTAGTGTCTTATATCTTTTTCTTGCTGTGCCATGCTTCTGAAAAAAAAAATAATCTTACATTCATATATAAACTTCTTGCACATTCCTTTATTATAGAACGATTCACGTTGCCTGAAGGATATACATCCCCTCCCCTTTAAAGTTTTGAAACAAATAACGATGATAGTCTGTCGGAAGGGGACGATAAATGGCTGACTGTGTTAAGAGAGAGCAATATGCCACGCTGAACTTCATTTAGTTATTAAAAAAAAACACATAAAAAACTTTAGACTAGATATGTGTCCAGTCAAAAGTCTTATTTCATTATACTCGTTGATTGTTGTCTATCATAATTTTTTTCTTTTATTGTTTTGTATAAATCAGGCTGTTGTTTTTCTTGTTTTTTTTAGTTTTAATTAAATGCATTGTATATAATGTAGGGGCCTTTAAAAGCCCTGCTACATAATGTCATTAAACATCTTATTGTCCTTTTTGCATGTTTTGAGTGATAAACTCTGTAGAGTGACATAGTTTATAACTTGTCATTTGTATCTAAGGGCATATGATACAGTCCTAGAAGTATACTATAGGCACATAATAACTTATCGAAGTGTTACGCATTGTTTTCGCAATGATGATAATAATATAACTTAACTTCCGAGAAACACACAGATGTCATTAAATGAGTTGTTTATATGTATTTGAAATACTTCAAAGGAAAGCAAATATGTTGTTTATGAAGGCACACTGTTGGACTAAAAGATTGATTTAAATAAACAACTTGTTTCTATTTTGTCACAAAAAAAATAATTTATTCAAATATCCAGATATCTTTTCTGTATTGTATACATGCCCTTAATCTTGAATGTAATGCATTGTTTATGCTAAATATTTGAATTAAATATGGAATAACAGTAATTCTGTATTTAAAAATCTTACTTCAAAAAAAAATTCTACTGAAAGGTTGTAGACATTCCAAAGAACCTGCGCCACTTCCAAATTGTAAACCTGCATATTGAACTTGTCCTTTGTGGCTTTTCTTTTAGCTCCTGTTAAAAAATAAAAGATACATTGTATGTACATTATGTGTATGAAGCAATAAATATAATTTTAAGCAACAGTTTATATCATCTTGCTTGTACTGAAGTCTTACATAGTCTTTGTAATGTTCATTAAGCTGTTAAGGGAAATTTAATTTACTGTTTTGCAAATACATACATACACTGATTTTACTAGAAAAAAAAATCTCCATATTCAAATGGTGCTTATATTAGTGTTATTGTAACTTGTTTGTGTGCCTCGGAAACAAGGTATTGAGTCATGCTTACTGCAATAGTTGTTGTTGGTTTAAGTCTGTCAAATTTCTTTTTCATAATGTGTATTTAATGTAGGCAGTTAGTTGTTTTGTTTCAATTGTGTTGAGAAAAATTTAACATTTGTTTCTCAAGGCTTCAAAGTGGACTATATGGCATTGGTTTTCTCAGTTTTGAAAGCCGTACAGTGACCTATAATTTCTTTTATCCAGTCATTTAGATTCTGGTGGATAACTGTCTCATACACCTTATCGCTATTTCAGTATTTGGAAATCTGTCCCGCTTGAACTTTTTACGTCAGCATACGTCATACAATAATACACCTTATCGCTATTCCTGCTTGACCCGAGAATCTATCCTGCTTGAACTTTTGACGTCAAACAACAATCACTTTTCCATTGTGGCATCAGATATTTTTTATGATGACGTCAAAATTTAAAGGGAACTTGTGACAGTTGTGTGATGTCCAGTAATGGTGGACAAATAGCAATAAGGTGTATTACTTTCAATTGTGGTGTCAAATATTTTCTAATATGATGTCAACATTTTACGGGAACTTTTGTGATGTCCATGGCCAGTAATGGCGGACAAATAGCGATAAGGTGTATTGGCAATCAAACACACAAGCCACATATCTTTATAATTTTTTATATCAATGAACAAATACATAATTGGTGTACGTAGATGCTTGATGGAGCTACTTATAAGATAAATGTATAGACTATTTACAAGTATCACTCCAAACGTTTGCTTGCCTTGGGCAGGGGCCCACCTTTTTTCAAAACCTTGATCCGCACCTCCAGAAACAGATGTAATTTGGTTCCGATTATGATTGAACACACACAATGAATGCACAAGTTTCATCTTAACAGATTAATCATTCTTACCAAGTGACTATATATCGCGTAACAAACAATTTTCTTGGCTCTCTTTGTTGATATCCTGTCTTCGTTTCGAAATTCAAATTTCAAAATCATTTCCGGTGATAAAACAAAAGTCGATTCCGGAAAAGGTCGGTTTTCCGTAAGGCATATAAACGATACGAAAATTGAACTTAGTACAGTTACAGTTTTCATTTCTTAATTTCTAAAATATACACGAACGAAATGAATAAACATTAAAGAAAGGTGATTGTTTATTAATACATTATTGCTTAATTTAATGTTGACTCTTTTGAATTTTAATATAAGAAGGAATAAAATCTGACTTAAAGGATCTTCAAGATATCAATTAAGGATTTTAACCATAGTATCTTGCTTGTCATGATATTGATGAAATGTAGTACTATATCATATCCTGAAAAAAAAAAACGAGCTAATTCCACAAAACGTTGTTTGTGGGGTTTTGAATAAAGTTTAAATAAAATGTTATTTTTATATCCGTAAAATGTTGAATAAAATATCAGTAAGATTATTAAGTAATGTATATGTCAGAATATTTTATAGAAAACATTTAGCTGATATTTTTCAGATGTTTTATGTAAAACATTTTAATTTTACGTTATAAAACATTTTATGCAAATAGCAAAACTATATTTTCTGTAAAACATTTTTTTGCAGAATGTTTTTTGGATATTTGGAAAATATTTACTTTAAATGTTGTTAAAATATAAAATACCAATTGAAGAAAATATTATTTTTTTATATTATAAAATATCTACGGGATATTTTAGAACAATGTTTGAGAACATGAATAAAAGATATTAGCAAATAATATTTTGTTAATGTTGTAAAAACATTTTACTTAAATGTTAGAAATAAAACATTTCAAAAACAATAAAATAAACATTTGTTTTATGTTTAAATGATATCTTATTGAAATATTTTGTGAGAGACGTCCATATGACATTTAAAAAATGTTTTTAAAATGTTGTGTGTTTGCTGGGAAGGTGCAAATACAGTAACTATTTGTGTATACTGTTCTACCAATTGGTCAAATAGTTACCTTCAAACGAAATATCTGATACCAAACTTGCTTTATCTCCATTGGATTGTCCTGATACCTCTATGTAAGCATAGCTAGATCCTTCAAAAGCTGAATTTGGTCCAGTATTTACAGACGATGTGAATCCCTGAAGAAGAAAAAAATAACAAGATATTTTTGTAAGTCTTTATTGGTGTTATAACAGAAATCATCAAAGATACCAGACTTACAGTACAGAAATATAAATTGATACTTTCATCTCAATCAAAATTCATGACTTTAGTCAAATATAATATAATTCAAAACCGCCTAAAATATACAAATCAGTGCATCGTAATCAAGGTTTATCAAGGTTTTTCAATAATCCAATAACATGAATAACGCATGCCTCATGACCCTGAACATAGATTATTTACAAATCTCATCAATCGATTAAGAAGATATAAATCAAGGTAACATATAAACACTCTGGGATTCGCATGAACTTCAACAAGTAGCGATACTAGATGCATTGAAAGTGTTAGTATTCGCTACTGTACATGCATCATCCGTCAATTACAGCCGTTAATAATTTTTCTTTTATAGAAATGTTATCCTTGTTATATGTTGCTCTTGGTTTTTTTCAGTGAATAATACAATTTGTTATTTTGAAAAGGGTATCATACGTACGGAGTTAATTGTAAAGTTCAGTTGATCGTCAACCGCATCTTGTAAACAACAGTCTGTCTCGCCAGCTTGAAAAGAACATCTGCATAATGGACCTGGACCTGAATGACAAATTAACAAAACTATGTATATTGCTTGTATATATATCGTGTCAACACCTTTGCAGATTTAAAATACACAAATGATGAAGAACACATGACAGAAATGTAATTTGTATTTGTTTTATGATATACAAAAAAACGTCTATCCTGTCCGTCTGGAACGAACATCTGGACGATGGGCCTGAGACGTATTAAAAAATTAACAAAACTTGGTATTGACTGAAGGAAATATCATGTTTACACCTTTCCATGTTTGATCGATACAACTAAGAAAGAATGAGGGACAAATCAAAATACATCTATTTAAATAAACCTTTAGAATTTTGATTTTTTAATAATAGTTAAACGGATTAAATACAACTACCGTATCAAAGCATCAACAGATTTTCATTAATGAAGTAAATCCGTTGCATACATTGCAATATATACGAATTTGTGTCATTCGTTTACAATTAATGGCATGCTTTTTTGCAGATTTTTCTAAAACACAAACTGAATACTTTACATTTATGTGGTAAAATAGCTAAACTTTTTATAGCGATTTCTTTACTTCAAATTTTACAAATTATTAGTATCAGTAGACTTACCTGTAACAACTGGAGTAGTTGTTGTCGGTGTAGAAGTTGTTGTCGGTGTAGAAGTTGTTGTCGGGGTAGTAGTTGTTGTCGTAGGTGTAGTTGTTGTTGTCGTGGGTGTTGTTGTTGTGGTCGTCGGTGTAGTTGTTGTGGTCGTCGGTGTAGTTGTGGTCGTCGGTGTAGTAGTTGTTGTCGTCGGCGTAGTAGTTATGGTCGTCGGTGTAGTTGTTGTGGTCGTCGGTGTAGTTGTTGTCGTCGTCGGTGTAGTTGTTGTCGTCGGTGTAGTAGTTGTCGTAGGTGTAGTGGTGGTTGTTGTAGTAGTAGTATCTGATTCTGTAAGAGGATTTTCTGGAAATGAAAATAATGGTTGTTAATTTATCGTTTTAAGATAAAAATAACTTAACATGGCCTTAAACAAGTCTTCAAATGAAGTTGCAATTTATATGACAGTAGTATAAGGTTGAGTAATACATCTTCAGACGATCGTGTCATGCAATTTCATTTTGTTCATTAACAATTATTTAAAAAAAAAACTGTCAACCAAACATACATGTTCACTCCGTCCGTTAAGGACAGAGAGATAGAAGCGATTTTCATTCTTTAGTTGTATAAAATTCAATATGTTACACTTCCTTACATGACTAGAGACAACCTGCATATTGCATATCCCTAAGCACGATTTCGTAACTAAAATGCAATACGGATATCTAGCATAATGAAAGTCGCAAATAGGCATGCTCACGTCGCCTGTGCTTCCATTGGAAAGAACATCGCTAACTGATTGACGACAGAGATGATTTAATCACTTTCGCCTACGTTTCATTGGTAACATTATCACTTCGTTAGATGTGTTTGAGCTTTGGATTTTGCCATTTTATAAAGGACTTTCCATTTTGAATTTCCCTTGCAGCACGGTGTTTTTGTTATTTTACCTTTTACTGGTCGATGACAGATATACTTTAATAACAATCGCCAGGGTTTTCCTGTCGTTAATTGAAACTACAAATGTCATTCGATACAATTGACAAAATGTAAAAAGACATTAAAAAGGGAAAACAAGCTACACGAAACCCAATAAAAAGCGGGATTGCTCATGTTCCCTACAAAGGTAACTGCAACTGTAAAATGCATGTTTTTTCATATATTATATATTCGACTAAAAGTACTTAACGTTACACTCTTCTACATATTACAGTTAACCGTACGACAAAACCCCTGTTATTACAATACTAACTCTAATGGTATACATAGTACACTTCTAAATCTTAAGTACAACAATTGGATGCTTTATTGACAAAATAAAAGCAAGGAACTGAATAGGTCATACGCATAAACAGTTAAATAATTTTAATTGGGGACATGACAAATACGTACCGCAGGTGCCTGGTATTAACTTTATGTCGTCTAAGGCAATGTCAGATGCAAAGCTGCTGCCACGAATTCCTTCGAAAAATACCTAAGATATAATTAAATGATATGTTAAGAAATAATTTCATTTGCAAAGTTACAGTTAGTAAGGCATGAAGGTCAGAATAAGGATCCGATAACATAATTCATCAATAAACTCATATATACCAGGATTAAAGTAAGAGTACTAGTATCTCATTAGTAAAAAAGAATTCACTTTCTCATGCTAATCAATTTAACATGCATTTGACGGCAATAAGACAAATATATAGATAAGATTACTTTACAACTATTATGAATTGAATAATGACACCTTTTATAACGATTTAGTTCTACTGGATCCTTTGGATACCAATGGTATCACACCATTAGTCCAGATCTAAAACTTAATAATTGCCTAATGTTGATACAGTTTAAATGAGTACTAATCTTCCAAAACATCATTTTATGAAACATTGGAATACTAGTACACATATTGCGATATTTAAGTCTTTAGTTATACACCTATTCACCTTCAAAATTTTGTGTATGAGAATCTATACCATAACAAAATGTCCAACACAAGTCATATGAGGTGTTGTTACAACAGCCAAACCAGATTAAGTATCAAGACAAATATCGTGCCGATTCGAATAAAGCTAACATACATCAATGAAGATCTTTCTTGAATTCTTGAATGACGGACTAACAATCACTAACGGACAAGGTTTCTGTCTTATGATCCGCTCACTACTTTGGAATGTTTTTTTAAAATATGTTGTTTGGTATATACTAATATTGAAAATGAAAATACAAAAAAAAAAACACTTGGTATTCATGCTTTTAAAGAAACAGAAATTCGAGAAAATATTTATTGATACCCTACCAAAAATGTGCCTCGTGATTATCATGATTATCTTAGATATGATAGACAGATGTTCTTTGAGAATTATGACTTCAAACGGCGAAAGTTGTCGTGTTAGGAAAGGCTATCTTCTACTAGTTAAATCATTTGTTACTATAATTAAACTCTACTAAATCAATGTACCTTCAAACCATCCATTGCTGGAATGAAAATGGCTGTTTCATTCCATTGGTTTCCTTGATTACCGGACATTGTAAATATCTGAGTACGTGTTCCCTGTGCATTTTCGGTGTATACATTCACGGTACCCATAGTATCTCCATACATATGATACCAAAAACGAAGACATCTATCTACCCCTGTAACATGAACAAGATGTAATAAAATAACACATTTATTCATATGCTAGTCAGTTAGGTTATTGCGATATTAGAGACTATATGTGCAACAATTGCATTATGTTTTATCGATTGTTGTTTCAGGTTTGTACAGTCCTGAATTCAGGACAAAAAAATATCGGCTACTATGCCATATTGGTCATAACCAATTAATTGTCCTTGAATGTCGCATTTACGCATAAGTGTTTTTGTTTCCTGTTTTTTTTTATATAGATTAGACCGTTGGTTTTCCGGTTTAAATTGTTTTACGCTAGTTATTTTGGAGCCCTTTATAGCCTGCTGTTCGGTGTGAGCCACGGCGCCGTGTTGAAAGCCTATAATTGTTTACTTTTTACACATTGTGACTTTGAGGGAGAGTTGTCTCATTGGCACTAATATCACATCTTCTTATTCATATCTTTGAGGATTTTATTTAGTAGCTGTGAAATAATGAATTGTAATGTTTGTTTTACAAATGAGTCAACTTTGAACATGTTGAACAAATGAAACTTACAATAAATTAAAATAAAAAAATGTAGAAAGGTGGCTTAATTAATTCAATGAACAATTAACTGTTATTTATACAAACAGAGATTAATGAAATTTTCCTTTGCGATAGTGTTTGTAATTCCTTTCAGCATGTTCATTGGTAGCTACATGTATCTGTCTCATTGGTTTTTCGTTTGTAAATTTGTCATAATTTAAGCTGTTGGTTTTCTCGTTTAAACTGTTTAATATTTTGTCATGAATGGACCTTTTTTTAGCTTACTTTACGGTTCGGGCTTTGCTAGATGTTAACCGTCGCACTGTGATTTTTAGTTGCTAACATTTACAAGTCATTCATGTCTTACGGTATCAGTTGCCTATCAAAACAGATCCGTTGCGTGCACAAATTATGTTTAATGTGGTGGTTAATAAAGATATTGCAAAGACGTTACTGCTACAACTTTAACAATAATACCCTGAAATTGTTTATACAGAGTTTCATATAGATAAGCATACTTTTTCTTGATTTTATGTTAATAGTATAATACAGTCATAAAGTCGGTTATTTAAAAGAAAATAAATTATATTTTATATCAATAATTTTAAAGACAATTCTCAAGCTTTACATATCGGCATCAAGCCTCTTTTATAGACTGTCAACATAAAATTAAGGATGTTCGCTCCTCTTGTTTTTGAATTTTTTCCAGATATTCGGAATCCTCTGGTTTTATCCATGTACTGCCATTAAAAAATTTTGCCGGCTCATCCCTACTTTTCATTCCATAATATTATTACATATAGTTGAAAAAGCCATATTTGAAAATCCTTTAAAACCCTTGTTAGCTTTTAAAAGAAAAAGGTTGCCAATGGTAAATGTATAATAAGTCTAGAGAGAATAATTTCCCGCCAAATTTTCAATGGCTTATATCTCGAAAACAAGCCCACGGACCCTTATTTTTTTCTGCTTTTTTTGTTCCTTTATTTATATACTATCAATTTATAATAATCTTTTAAAAAGCTTGTTATTTTGAAACAGAGTAGCGAACATCCTTAATACATCTTGCTTCACTTTTGTTTTTAATGACAGTAACATTGCAATGTACATGAAGTCATAGTTTATATATTTTCATTTAGAATTTAAAAGAAAATAATGACAGAACATTCAGTATAATACACTAAATACCGGGTAACACATTTGGAGGGTGAAAGAGCAGATTGTTACCCCTAAAATAAACTTTTCAACCTTGAAATTTTGGATGACAATTTTGTCTCTCAGGGTAACTACCTGCTCTATCACCCTCCCTCTCAGTCATGTGTTATTTATATAATATACAACCATGTAACACTAACTCTATATTTTCTCTTCACCTTGTTTGTCAATTTGCATGATTTAAGCATGTTATTGATTATTGATTTTCTTGATTGGATGTCGAAAGGAGAGAGTAACATGCCTTTGATGGATTGAACTGTGAAATTTGCAAAGTTTTTATCTTTATCCTTCAGTTGAAAATAAAACAAACGATTACTTAACTTACATAGTATGACCAGAAAGTGTGTTGAATCATACTTGTATGTGTGTGTACTGTAAAAAATAACAGATAACTCCTATATATAGATATATAATCCAACATAACCTACACAAATGGTGATACATGTAAACTTGTGAAATACATACTTGGTAAAGTCATTTTAGTGACCATAGTTGCTTTCTCATTATCTCGTCTTGGACTTGACGCCTCAATAAACATAAATACTGTTCCAACCTTTGCAGCCTCAGGGCCGGTATCAGCAGAAGGCGTTCTGGCCTGTTTGAAATAAATATTCCATAAAACACTATTCTTTAAAATAAAAGTTATCAAACACACTTAGGCTACTCGTAACTACTGTGAATATTTTTTACCATTACAAGATTACTTAAACATAGCACCGTTTACTATAAAGATCACAGATAGAAGCCATTTTTCTAGTCACTTGCGATTTAGCGCCAAACACGACTTACCTCAGCACAGGCGATCATATCTTTGTTTTTTTCGATTCAAAGAAGTTTTTGAATATTGTAAGGAATGCATGGTAAATGTGGACATAAGTTTTAAATATATTGAAAATGAGAAAATGACGAGACCAGTTAATGATAGGATAAAATAATTGTAAAACACGCAATGTTGCGTTTAACATATTTATATATAACTAAAATTACTATAAATTTAATTTTTCTATGAATAATATGTGTACCATTCTTTAAAGCAGGCTGTATTTGCTATAGCATATTGGCATATCCACTGCCGGTTTTTATATATTATTTGAGTTTTAGGTTACCTTAGCCGTATTAGGCAAAACTTTTTCGAATTTTGGGTCCTCCATGCTCTTCAACTTTGTAATTGTTTTGGCTTTCTAACTATTTTGATCTAAGCGTCACTGCTGAGCCTCATGTAGACGAAACACGCGTCTGGCGTATCAAATTATAAGCCTGGTACCTTTGATAACTATTAATGTTTATGATGTACTTACGTTTGTAAATATCCAATCAAAGTCATCGTTCTGTGTCTCCTGCTCTAACACACAATACTCATTAGCTTCACCATTACAACCTATTACTCCATATTCTACAAAAGTTATAATGTAGTTACGATCAACTTGAGTTTGATTAAGAGGACTAATTTGAAAAGAAATCACTAAATTCAATGCAAAATGTTCTACAAGTGATGAGACTGAGTTTTTGTATTTGCTTTAGAAAAAGGAAAGAAAATAGACAGAAGATAATGACATGATAATCATAAGTCGTTAAAAAAAACGTCAATAGAATATACTAAAACATAAAACGTAAACAACAAACATCACCTAGAGAACTAACGAAAGAAATACAATAACCCAAAAACAGGAGGTGATCTCAGAAGCTCTAATGGATGAGAGGATTCTTCTCTACCTGTGGCATCCGTCGTTTTACTCATGAACATAGCAAATACAAATTCCATGCTAAGTCTCATATGGTTATATCAAAAATTGGCTGAACTTCTGATGTTGATATGTTTTGTCTTTTGATTTTCAAATACCTGCCTCAAAGAACATTTAATAACAATTTTTCAAGATGAAGTTTTTTTCTCTCAAATTTTAATTACTAGTAGTCTTCTGATCATCTTGCATATCAAATTATCTTATAAATAAAATAAAAGACAATTTCAAGTCAATCGATCAATATTTACTTATAAATAATCATGATGATAGAATCTATGAATACATAAAATAATATATAAAACGAAACAACAAAAAAGAAACAGTCGAAAGAAAGTAATTGAGATGTTTGTCATCATGACATAATGTGAATGACAATATGTATCATGTATACCTAAATGTAATAGTTATAACTGCGACTTAATGAGAGAAAACTACATTTTTTTCATAGAAATAATAATTTACCTGTTAGTATATCACAATTGGTTCCTGCAAATCCTTGATCACATGAGCATGTATATGTGTTACTGTTGAAAGCACTGTTACACGTTCCAAATGCACATGGATTTTCATCATCTTTGCATCCTATGGATAAAATAAACGTATAAGACTATCTCAAGGAGCAGGAATATGGGTCACATTGCCACACAGCTTAGTTTACTATTCTTTGTAAAGAGTTGAATAAAAAACATCATGTATATGTTAATTCCATTTTTAAATGTTAACAGGACACCGAACGAATTCCTCATACCACTATCAGCTATAACGTGAGGGTACCCAAATTGCAGTGGATTATAGTAAAACGAATTATGTACAACAACAATAGAACCAAAAGCAATTAAACAGGACATGCGGTCTTGTTTTATCACAATTAAAAAAGCAGTCAATAGTCAAATTTTCGGAATAGCATAATTTAAGCATCGTAAAGATTTCCTTAGACAACAAACTGTATTTATCCTTTTGTTAAATGAAATTTTTCAGGTATGAATTCCTTAATGTTGAAATATTCGGGGTTAAAACTAATCCTCGTCATTGTGCAAATAATTCACACACATTTGAGCTATTTTTTAATGAATGACTATTATTTATTTCGAATTTATTGAACCATAAAATTAATTTCTGACTCTTCACATGTAAAATGTGAAGAGTCAAAAATTAATTTTATGGTTCAATAAATTCAAAATAAATTATTGTCATTCATTATAAATAAATTTCTATCAAAGATAAGGCTCAAAGAGCCTTTTATATTATTTATATTAACAATAACAACGTACACACATGTTGACGTATGAATACACAACGTCAGAGTGGGCGTGTCGCCATAAAAATTGACAACATTGAAAATAAAGGTAATACTTTTAACCAATCAGAAGACAGTAAATACACTAAATTTATTTATTAAAGAATGGTGGAAGATATCAAAGGGATAGTAAAACTCATAAGTCGAAAACGAACTGACAATGCCATGTCAAAAAGACTAAAAGACAAAAACAGTCTACAAAAACACAGCACAAGAATCTAAAGACTGAGCAAAACGACCCCCCCTCCCCCCCCCCCCCCCCCCCCCCCAAAAGGAAAAAACCTCGGATGATCTTAGGTGATAAAAATTAAATGAGGCAGGCTATCTCGATGTTGAAATTAATACCTTTCAGAAACTGGAGATTTGCAAATAGGAGAAATAGCTAAAGCTCATCATATCCTACTTTTCAATAAATATAAGAAATATGTTATTAAGCTGTGAATGGTTGATGCATCACACGGTGGCAACATTGGAATTATCAACAAAATGAAGTATTATTGTTTGTTCAGTTCAATTCTTGGAGTTTTTCATTATTTCGTAAAGGAAACACATTTTAATCATTGACCAAATTAATTTTGACATTAATTCTCGATAGTTTGATTTCACAATTTAAAATGGTCGCCATTGCAAGAAATATCAAGGATAACTTTCAGAAATCATCTCTTTTACATGTTTTGAGAACATTTCATTTATATGGATAAAAGCCGTAGGATTAAGGAAATCTGTAAAGGGTGTTCATTAAATTGAGGCACATAATATAGGGTAAAAAGGACGTTTAACATTCAAGTTGGTGTAGCTACTGCTGCATTGGCATTATTCATTCTTTTGGTTAAATCTGGAAATACAATCGGCGTTTATCAAATGAAAACAAAGTTCGGGTTCATCAACCCTACAAGGTTACAATGATTGATTATCATATTTTTGTCGAATACATCTAAATGACCTTTACGGGACGAGAGGTTATACTGTCTGTATTTTGTATAATTATTATGTATTTACAATTGATTTCTAGCATGTATAAACGTACATTACATGTTGTTGCTTCTTATCATTCATTGGTTTAACATTTTGCCGTATAAGGATCAAAACATTTTTATTTTCATTCACTAAAATTAAACTACATAGTCAGCATCTATAAATAACAATAAACCTTGGTACACTTTGTAAATACTCACCACAAACAGTCCATGGTTTTAGCCATACATCATCTAATGCCATGTCAGACCTACTCCCTGATCCCATCACACCTTCAAATATTACCTGAAATGATAGTGATAGGACATCTTAAAGTAAAGAATACGAACAGGTTATGCCCTAAGCACATCTTCAACATTTAAATTAGGATTTACTTTACGCTTAGTGTTTCAGTGACCATTTTCAAACTTGTCTATGTTTGTATTTTCTCTTCATTATTTTATGGAGATATCGTTAGGTTATAACTAATGTATTTCACTCTGTTTTTTAATGATTTATTCTTCACTTTTTTACCTCATACTTTTACAAAAACATGTGCATGTTAGTATTAACAAACAAAAAACCACTACTACACAAACAGGTGGAATATATAAAGAAAGTGTTCAAAACCCATAAGGTGTTTTGAAAATTAAAAGTAACTGTTGAATTAAAAAAATAATCATTGAGACAAAAATAGGAATTGAAATTTTCAAAACTCTTTGCTCACCTGCCAAACAAGCTTATACCGTCTTGTCTTACCTTAAGTCCATCTGTTGCCGGACTGACCATACTTTCTGTGTACCATTGGTTTCCTTGATTTCCTGTTTTTGTAAATACTGTCGTTCTAGTTCCTTGTCCATCTTCGAAGTATACGTTTAAGGTGCCAATTTGGGACCCGTACATATGATACGAAAAATGAAAACATCTCTTTATACCTGGAAAACAGAGCGAAGTTTCTCTTATCAATATTGTTTTGATTTGACCAATTATATCCCGTTATTCAACCGGGATAAAACGGATCAATGCACTTATAAATGCAAGCAAAGAAAAATGGTTGCAGACATGAAGAATTAATATGTCATAACAAACTCTTTTAATAACAAGCTTTACATTTTATGTAATATGAAAACACCAAAGGTTCTACGGTCCATAAATACAGTTAATCGTAAAGGTGGCATACTTACTTTATTAATATGCACTGTACAATTTTATGGACAACAAAGACAAGGATGGATGAATGCGTACTCTATTGAACCGTTTTATCCACTCATTTGAAACTATGACATTGACCAGCCTTTCTGTATACTATGACATTTCATTCTCTGTAAGCAGTGGCTGAATGAGATCGGTGGTTCGGGTCAACCGTTAGGAGCGCGAAATGGACCAATATAAAAACTGAATCTATATTTCGAATAATATCTGGTTTTAAACTGCAATTCCCTAAACTGATTTCTTTTTGTTTATGCATTCCAAATGATAAGAGTTAAGAATTGCCTCTTTTTGAGTTTTAGAGGATAATTTGTGTTTCGTTTCAAGTGACAGCAATAGTTAATAAACTTCACCAACGTTCTAAAGCTAAAATTATTTCTATAGAGCATATTTCTTCTAACTAGTTTTCATTTTCAGTTTATGTGAACGTTTAATAACTATTAGATGATACAAACTAATTCTTTCATCAGACCAAATAGAATGTTCCCCGTGTATCAATTTCAAGACATCATAAAATTGTTTTCTCTAAGAGAAACTAGATTTCTATCCCTTTTTACTTTTAAAAATATGTAGAAAAAAATCAAAATTAAATTACATGGAAATTATTTGTATCAGTTAGTTAATTGCTTTTTGAAAGTTAAAAAATTTTGGCTCCAAGCATCACTGAAGAGACATTTATTGTCGAAATGCGCATCTGGTGCAGAAAAATTTGTACCGTTAATGTTATTAATAGACATAGAAATGGTAGAAAATTACACTTTTGAAAGGGACTGGAGGGTTTTCAGTTGATTCTTAACGTTTTTTTTTTCAGATATTCTATTGCAAAGGTAAATCCTCTCTATCCATTGACACAAAACACTAAAAGACATTGATTTAGCACACTTCCAACAAAAAACCAATCTTACAAGCTCTTCATCGCCCCGAATCTATAAAATAAACGTTAGATTAACCAGTATTCAAGCATACATTAACACAAAAATATATATTTTTATACTTTCCTTTGGCATGTTTGGAGTAACGGTCATTTCATAGCGTTTCATTGCAGTAACAGGAAATGTTTCATTGGAGTAACGGTTAACGTTTTATTGGAGTAACAGGGAACGTGTCATTGTAGCAAAGGGTAACGTGTCATTTTAGTAACAGGGAACGTTTCATTGGAGTCACAGCTAGAGTGGGTTTGAACTCGTAATGATGAAAATTATAAACAATTCTTACTAGGCATAGATATGTTTGTGAACATAACAGCTTTTTCGCCGACTACTCGTGGTGATGATGCCTCCGTATACAAGTAAACATATCCTTCAACAGCATTCTCCGGTCCACTAGATGTCGTTGGTGTATCACCCTGTATACATTGAGAGAACAAAGTCATTAATGTATCGAAATGATATTGTATTGTTTTGACTAGTGTTTGTAAAATTTAAAAATATATACATAGGGACATTTCCCACTAAATATATTTCACATCAGAGCCATTTTTGACATGTTTGATATCAAAGTCACAGCTTCATTTTTTATTATCTAGTTCGGACCATTTACAACCTAGTTTAGAAAATGTAGCAAACAATGTATGCTTACAGTTCACAATTCGAATATCTACTTGAAGATCATTTACGAGAAGAAAAGCTAAAATTCACAATGAGATAAAGCATATTCGTTTCGTTTTGTTTTCAATGTTTTCTTTATTTTCATATAGTCTATCATAAACATGATATATAATGTTTCGTACTTTCCGAAATGCATTTTTTTTGACAAGGAATAAAAACCGTTTCTTTCTAACATTATTTTTTTATCAAATGTTAAATAAATGCACATAAGGAATTTTTAATCACCGTATAGGTAGTCCAGTCAAAGTTGTCATTTGTTTCATCCTGTGCCAGCATACAATACTCTCCAATCTCTGCCGTACATCCCAATGATGCAGTATCTGCAAGATTAATAATTAAAAAGAATATATAAAAATACGGTGCACATGTCTAGAGAAAATGTAAACGAAGAAATGAAAAAAAGTCCTCATCAACAAAAGTTAATAATCCATAACCAACTAAAAAGCCACTCTGAATATGATGTTTGGATGGCCTTTAACTGCCTTGTGGCTTTGATTGATTGACTATTGTTTTCTTTACGTCCAGGCACAAATATCTTATGCATATTAGAAATGAGAACAATTATAATCCAATAAATGATTCTGCAAAGTTGTGCAACCGCGATAAAGTAAAGGCATTACAACCTTGAAAATGAGGGTACGTTGAAACCGGCAGTCATTTTTATTGGTAACATGAAGACTGCAGACATGTTTACTAGAGTTTCAATGTATGTTTAACATGGCATTCTCAATACAAGAGGCATAGTTCTAAACGTACAAATTCTGACGAGACATGTTTCGACATTTCGCATAGCCTAACTGCGCCTATCTTTACAAAGAATATTCTTGTCGGATGGGAGAAGTCAGGAGATGCCATATTTCTATACCATTGTCAACCTTGGAAGTAATAAATATGCATTTTTTTTAAATCATAGATGACATAATAGAATTACTAAAACGTATGATTTTCCTTTAAGATCCCCTTTAAGGAAGTAAATCCCTATTGTAGTACAAACGGTAATACCGTGAATACCTTTTAGCGTTGTCTATGGTCTATGCATAAATCAAAAAAAAAAAAAACGTTTACCTGTTAGAACTTCACAATTTGCTCCTGTAAATCCTTCGTTACATGTGCATGTGTAGGTGTCCGAATTCAAAGGACTGTCACATGATCCAAATTTACATGGATGGTTTATACAACCTAAATAACAACACAAACACATTAAAATAAATTAACTTTCAGAGATGTTTTACATCATGTACAAATTGGCCTAATAATTTTACGTTGTAACCGCAATTTTCTTAAAATAAACAAATCCATAAAATTTTACCAATTACACTTATATAAAACATTAACATATAATAACGAACACAAATGAGAGTAACATGATTTAATTGTATTTCTGTGTTATAAGTTATTTAACAATAACCTTGCTTTCCCTCTACTCATTTAGTTGTTTAAAATGTTGGATAGCCATCAAATAATTTTTTGTGATATTGTTTCTGTCCCTTAGATCCAAAAGACGATTAAAATAAAAGGTAATGTTCATTCAAAATCCATCAATTATATAAAACTATAAAAAAGTATTTCCTTTTTTAGGTCGGTTTACTTTCAAAGTTATTCTATAGACTTTAGATTTCCTAATACGTTACAGCCATCCCATGCATCCTACATCAGTGAAGCGGCATTGTTAGAATTACACAATTGGCAAAAAGTAATCTTGTTATCAAAATATATGTACCTGTTCCGATAGATTTAAACTTCATTCGAAACCCTCTTGATGTTTGTTCATCAATATGACTGTCGAACTGGATAATCATTTTGTTCTTAAATTCATCTGGCGTCGCATCCCACAGTTCATTCTTGGTTGTACCACACCTCCTATGAACGTACAAAAAGTAAAATAACAAAAATTCCGAATTCCAAGGAAAATTCGAAACGGAAAGTCTTTTATCAAATGGCAAAATCAAAGTTCAAACACATCAAACGAATGGAAAACAACTGTCATATTCCTAACTTGGTACAGGCATTTCCTTATGTAGAAAATGGTGGATTAAACCTGGTTTTAAAGCTAGCTAAACCTCTCACTTGTATGACAGTCGCACAAAATTCCATCATATTGACAACAATTTGTAAACAAAACAAACAGAAATATTAGGTAAAAATGTCAAAAAATAGGGGTTAAGCAGTCAACATTGTTTTATAATCTTAATCACTATAAAAAAAACAAATATGTCAACAGAGAAAAACAAAATGGCATATAGACAAGGCACATAAGCAAAAAACGAAAAACAAGAATACAAAAATAACCATAGCACAATAACACAATGGCGGGATGTATAAGTACCAAGCCACATGCAAAAGTAGAAATAAAGACTACGAGATTCATAATATGAACGTTGTTGATGTGTTTTAATGGAATTGTATGGCATAGAACTCTTTACTTTTGAGTTTTGTGTGAATTGTAAAATATATTCTTCAGCATTTCTTTCGATTTCTGTGGAAACTTATATTCAAGTTGCAGTTTTCCAAAACCTTATAATTTATTTATGAAATCATGCCTTAGTCTATTTTGCTTTTTTAACTTTAGATTCGAGCGTCACTGATGTGTCGTTTGGCGTACAACATTTTAATCCTGATATCTTTGAAGAATTTATTAGTATCAGGGATTCCTATCTTTCAAAGTTATTATAATATATGTGATTAAACATTGCTAGCGGATGGACCGATAGACCACCGATTTAGGTCCCTCTGATATCGAATATCTGCAAAGAATGTCTGCAGAAATTACTCTCAAAGTAATAATAAAACTCTTGAATAACCTTCTTCCAGTATGCTACTCCTAGATAACAGAATAAATTTGAGGATAAAAATAAGAGGATTCTGAATACTGTCAAGTGTTAAGCATGAATTGCAATGAGTGTGCAGGTAATAACGAAAAACAGTACAACAAAAATATAAAACTCCGAAACTCGACATCTAACTTAAAATATGTATAAAAAAACCTACAATCAACAATGATTAACTATTTGAAATAAAAATAACGCTTTCTATATCTACAGCATACAGTTTTAATTTTCTTTAAATATACTTTTTATTTTTTATTTAGTTTGCGTATAATTTTCTATCATTTGTAACGATGTTTTGCCCCGAAATACATTTTTTATCAAATAAATGTAATAAAAAAGTTTAATTCTTCAGGTAAACATGATTTGCTGAGACACATATGGTGGATTAGGGAAATACATAATGCGTTGCAACTTGCAACCTACGGAACACCAAAGAGTTGTTGCAAGGGTCTTTAACATGCAGAGTGTGTCAGTTTATCTATACGAAAGATCGGATTTAACATTCTCATTTTGACCACAGGTTCATATTAGGAATATTCAATAACCGTATTGGTATCGAAGTCAAAGTTGTCATTCTTTTGCATCATGGAGAAACAATGTGGGTCTCCAAAATCAGATGGCCGAAGTGATAAAACTTTTTGAAAGTTATACTTACCTAGGTCCAGTCTGTCCTAGTAAATTGTACCTAAACTGCAACCAATGAAAGCAAGCCATTCCATTATTGCTGATATCCATATCTTCAATTGTCCCACGTAAAATATTGTTATCCACACCCTGTAAAAAATAGATTTTCAACTCTCATGGCTTGAACCTCATTCAAATGCATTTATAAAAAAAAATGACTTAAGAATTTTTTTAAAAGTTTTTTTTTGCATTTCCTTGATAATTTGTAACCAGGATTTGCTAGATTCACCTGAACATTTGATTTTTCTTATGACAATCGAGAGCTATCTGGTTTCTGCCTAAAACACCTCTTATCTCAAATGCTCGTACCTCTGAAATAAGCACACGAACCTATCTTAAAAACTACCATTTTTGACTATGAATCTCTCTAAGTAAATTGGTTTTCATCATATTTGTTTTGCATTGTCAATTGTTTCAAGCTTAGAATTAAAGTCATATATAATCCTGCAAATAAAAAACAAAAAAGTTGAATATGTTTTATATATATACTTGAAGTGATTAGTTTAAACAGGCATAGATGGACTTCCTATTATTTATCTTTTTTATCAAAATCTTCAGATATGTACTGTTATTGTATTATTGTCTTCCCATTTTCTGATTCGCCGACAGTTTTTTCGTATACAGTAACCCTAATCGCTTAGCACTTACCTGTATAAGCCAAGTACATTTTAAACCTGTGTCATAGTTGTTTGGATAGTTAGGCGAGTTTACATATATTTCCTCTCCAGCACCTACGTTCACAACCCCACCACAGCCTTGTAAAAATGTTATGATTATTATTATTATTATTATTTTTACTATCATTATAATTATTATTTTATTATTATATTATTATCATTGTTACCTCATTTTCATTCTTTTTCTTAAGTATCATATTCGAAATCATTAAATGAACACGATTTATAACCATGTACTATTACTGTAAGAAAATGACCTTATTACAATGACCATAGTTATTTATTTTCTATGTCATTTGGTTTCTAGTAGGCATTTGTCTCATTGGCAATCATACTACATATTCTTATTCTTATATTATGTTTGAATTCTTATTTTTCTGTGTTTGAATAGATGCGTATTATCAACCTGCAGTGTTGAAAAAAAAACTCAGTTACAACAATTAACAATTAACCGACAATTAATGGTTCAGTTTAAGTAAATTTAATGTTGTCTATCTTCTATATCAAAGTTGTAAAGTAGTAAAATTCCTGTTTGAATGGTTTTACACCTGTCATTTTAGGGCCCTTTGTAGCTTGCTTTTCGGTGTGAGCCGGAGCTCCGTGTTGAAGGCAGTGCTTTGACCTATAATGGTTTACCTTTACAAATTGGGTCTTGGATGGAGAGTTGTCTCATTGGCACTCATACCACATCGTCTTATATCTAAGTACTACATGCAATCATAGTTCTATTGTCTACCCCAATAAGTAATATGGCTAATCAATATCAAAGATCAAAAATAAAATATCAAAAATACCGAACACCAAGGAAAATTCAAAACGGAAAGTCACTTATCAAATAGCAAAATAATAAGCTCAAATACCATGAATACATCAAACGAATGGATAACAACTTATTCACAGCAGAAATTTTTCTACAATTCTGATGTCGTCAAATGGAGTAAAATTAAAAATGCTATGTATGCCAGAAAACAATATATATATAGACATTTCTCAGGAATTTTTTTCAATCGTGAAAACTGCCTTTATTTTAAAAATCAAAATCAAGGGAGATGACTCTTACCATTCCCAAAAAACAACGTAAAGTTTCGAGTAAATCGACATATGTATATACATATGTATACGTATGTTTGAGTAAGTTTGGTGTAAGTGAAAAGTTGATTCGACAATTAAAGTCTCATAACACTGGAACGACAAATCCCGACAAAAAATATCAAATCGAAAGGTAGTATCTTCTACAGATTAAAATATCCCATACCGGTTTCAAGAAATGGACCAAAGCATTCTCTGACTTTTGTACGTTACATGAACAGACGAACAGACGGACAACGATATACAACAAAATGACCCGGGTTCCTGACTAGGCACATATGTTTGTTAATAAGAGATATGAGTAAAGCATATGCCAGATATATTGTCACATTTCGAAAGACAATAACAATAAAAGAATGTATAGAAATTCTTTTTCAAAATTTCAATGAAGTGGAATTCAAGTCTAACAGGATTGTAAGTATGCTTTATTTTATAACCTTGCACTTTTCTACTTGACTGTAGATATCTACCTCAGTTTTTAAACATTTCTGACCAGTTGAACAGTTTGGTTTGATATAACAAATTGCAATTTGGTCAGAATTTTGAATAAACTGCAATAGGTGGAGAGCAACACTTCCGGTCAAGTCACAGTGATATAAAGTGAGTGTTTTTATGTTACATTACAGTGAATCATCGAACCATCAAGATAGTTGTAGATAGGAAGAAAGGAATAAATAAGATTTATTGATTGATTTTTCCTAGCTTAATGTTTATTGGGAACTGCTCATGCATATATATCACGACGAAAACAAATGAAACAGTTTTTACAATTGGTAGGTCTTGCAAGCAAAACGACTGTGATGCAGTGCAGAGGCTTTGCACAGTCGCTGGTAAAAAAAATGTTGCCTTGTAACATACATCACAGAAAGCAATTATTGTAAATTGTTTTTAACTTGCAGAGAGCATGGAGTATCGGATTTAATATCACGCAAAACAAACGCCCCACTTTAACAAAGGGTTATTCACCAGAGAGGGAGATGTTAAAGGTTGAACATATGTCTTTACCAAAGTCAACTGTTCCGAGTATGCATAATTAAATAGCGGAATCGACTAGCTGAATAAATATCGGAATGTTCTTTCGTCTAACCTTCTCATCTGATGAATAGAAATCAGGACATCGAGTCAACCAGTTGCATCACCATTTACGCCTAGATACGGAGAAACATTATGTTGTACAAGATGAGTATAAGTTTTGAAGTTTTCTTATGCATATAACATGTATGACTATGAATTTTGAGAACAAACACAAAATCCTTATTTTTTAAAAATGTGTTATGTGCAGTATGAAAAAACGATTTGAAAAACCCCAAAAAACATTGATTTTCAAAATCTGCAGTACTAGTAATTGGAATCAATAGTATCAGATACTTGTAAGTAAAACAAATATACTTACTTCCGGTTGATATTGGTAATTCACATGTGTCACCACCTAACACGTCAGGGCAAAAACACTTGCACTCCCAATTCATAAACCCTCCATTCTGACATCCAAGATTGGTACATTGAGCTATCAAAATGAACGTAGAATCTTAATTATATTTATGTAAATACAGAATAAGGAGATGTGGTATCATTGTCATCTTCGTTCAGATTTATATATAAAGAAGCCATAATACTGTATAAAAACTCCAAACATCAATTGATCTATCCACATGATGTTTGATTCAGACAGGCTAAATATACCAGAATAAACTTTAAATCCCGTCATTGTGTTGTTGTGCTATGGTAAATTTTTGTATTCTTCTCTTTCGTTCTTGCTGATGTGCTTTGTCTATATGCCTTTTTGCTTGTCTTTGTTAACATAATTGCTTGTTTTTGTAGTGATTAAGATAATAACACAATGTTGACTGCTGTACCCGTATTTTTGACATTTTTACCTATTATGTCAGTTTGTTTTGTTCACGAATCGTTGTCAATATAATGGAATTTTATGCGACTGTCATACAAGTGAGAGGTTTACCTAGCTGCAAAACCAGTTTCTACATAAGAAAATCCCTGTACCAAGTCAGGAATATGACAGTTCTTATCCATTCGTGAGATGTGTTTGAGCTTTTGATTTTGCCATTTGATAAGGGACTTTCCGTTTAGAATTGTCCTCGGTGTTCGGTATTTTTGTGATTTTACTTTTTAAACAACATTGATATTCTTAAACTGACAAATCAAGATGTTAAGTTGGACATTGACAATCTAGACGTATCCAGATGATGTTTATAAATGCAGACTGGTAATCCTTTAGTATACAAAACAACATTGACATAGTGATATTTATTAAAATCGTTCGATCGAGAAAGACTGTGTTATGTATTGTTCAGTCGTTTTTCCAGTAGGAGTGGATATTATATAATGAAATGACTCAGAAATCTATAGTTGAAAGCAGGATGGCTTGATATCTTTTTAGCAGATTAAGTAGTTCCCTTGTGCTTTCTGTACCTTAAAACATTCCTTTATACTGTATTATATGAGAGTATGGATTGGGGTTAACAGAATAGAGAATAATGGGCAAGAATTATGAAATATAGAGAAACATGGACCAAAAAAATAAAGAAAAGAGAATAATGAAATGTTAAAATATAAAGAATAAAGAATAATTGGCATCAAGAAGTATAAAGGATAGAGAGAAAAATGGCCTAAAAATTAAAGAAAACAGAAATGAAGAACCCCCATCCAAACCCTGTCATAATTATATAGTCTATTATTTTATTGTTCCTTTTTGTTTTCTGTTATACGGGTAATTGAGAGTTAAGTGCTTTTCAAGTACTGATTTTTATAGTATGTTCTTTTATGTGCGTTTATAGGTCCACTGTTTGTGATTAAAAGGGGGAAAGTGTTGAGATATATATTTGACCCCGCCTCATATTCCTGTGCTAGTCCCTTGTCAGTACCTTTTCATGCAATTCAGTATGATGTTGATGTGTACAGGTTAGAAACAACTGAACAGTCTAAACATAGACCGAACAGATCTTGCTTGACTGCAAGCAGATGATCTTAACAGTACTGAGTTTACTGCTGTGGCTTAGTCTAGAAAATGACCGTTTCACATTAAAATTCGTTTATTAGTATAATTTGGTGTTAATAACAATTTCAGAACGACTCCGGTCGATTATGAGTGTTTGACATATTGCATAGACATCTATTCATTGTTGACGCCTGTCTGTTGCACTCTAGATAATCTTAATGTTTTTCGTTTTGGTTTTCTGGATTCGTTGGCGTTTACTCTACACCCAATGTTATTCATATCAGATATTACCAGAACATCCGTAAGCTTTGTCAACTTCAAGTACATCATAGAACATCAGACCATCAGCAATACTCGCAAGAAATTCTAATCTGTAGTCAATGAATGGTATAGTCTTTCCACCGTTAGTCGAACTAGCCTGAAAATGAAGTTTATGGTCTAAACGAAGTTGATATTTACAACTTTAACGTTGTATATTTGAAAATGGTTACGTTGCAAGTTTCAATAATTTTGATTCATAATCAAGCTCATTATAAAAATAAGGAGATGTGGTATGATTACCAGTGAGACAACTATTCACCAATAATAATATGATAAATAAAATATTAAGAATAGAGTAAAGGCCAAAACAAAAAGAACAGGGAATAATGTACTAAAAAAAGGAATAGAGAAAATAACCTAAATATAACACAATACAGAAAAAAATGACGCCCTTCCAAACCAACTCACATATACACTGTACTGCAGAACTGATGACCCATCATATGAAACATCTGTTGCAACGTTATCAATATCAAAGTTGTGCCGTTTTTCCTCTCTGATTTCTTGCCATTGAATATTTAAGTAACTATCTCTGTCTGGTCGACTTTGTTCATGGTGAGCACCCAAAGCATGTAACATCTCGTGAACTACTGTAGATCTCTGAAATAAATACAAAATGAACTACTGTATATCTCTTAAACAAATAAAAATATCGAACATTTCTCAATAATATACCAATCTAATTTTCAGTTTAATTAAATTTGCTACTGCCTTCTGGATAGTAAACCTAAGAAGGCTATAACTTAAAATGCCTTTTTGGTTATTTATTCCAAGACTTTTCTGAAACTACATATCTATAAAAGCTTACAGAATGTAACAATGGAGCTAGGTTTACGAATGTAATATCATGACTTTGTAAATTACTTTGGGAAATATTGAACATATTTTCCCAAATGAAGTGACTATTACCAAGTTTGAAGCCTTGCAATAGCTGTACAGAATTTGAACACTGTGACTCATTGATATTTGAATTACAAATATGGGAGGTTTAGCTAGCTATAAAACCAGTTTTAACTAACCATATTTCTTCGGAAAATGCCTATACCAAGTTATGAATATGGCAGTTGTTTTTCACTTGTTCCGTTGATAAAAAACGTTTGATTTGTCAGTTTTTATGGACTCCCCCTTTTTTAATTTTCATTGGAGTTCTGTATTTTTGTTATACCTTTTTATATACTGTATATATATTTCCAAACATCAGTTCGACTTCATAAATACGACTTATTTTGGCCTAAAACTAACCATCAATTTGATAAATACAGACGATTCTTCTGAAAATATACCTGTTTGCCCAAACAAGAAAAATCTAGAAGAAACCAAAAAGCGCCAATCAAAAATGGTCTGTCCGATAAAAACAGACTACACTTGACCGAAAAGAAAACAAATAAAAAAAACAAATAACCGTAACTTAACAGAGGTGAATGTCAATCTCATTAGTCGCCATGGCAAAAAAGGCCAAAAGACCCAAAAACACAAACAACAGTACGCAAAACACAACATAGAAAACTAGATACCGAGCAACACGAACCCCACCAAATAAAACCGGGGCTGATCTCAGTTGCTCCTAAAGGGTGAGCAGATCTTGCTCTACATGTGACACCCGTCGTGCTGATCTTGTAAATACAAACATGGAAATCAGTCCAATTCGGTAGGTTACAACATTACATGACCGAAAAGAAAAACGGCGAAAAGACAAACAACCTTAAAAAACATTAAACAGGAAACTAACATGTGTTTAACCCTGGACAATCCAAATACCGTGGTTGAACTCAGATGCTCTGTAAGCGTTAGTAGTATCTGCTCTACTAATGGCCGTTTCAGAATCTAATGCATTCTGGTTAATATTTTCAAAAGTGTACACCAAAGCATCATGGTTGGTTTTAAACGTTCTAAACCATTGAAATTCAACCAATGACCTGACTTTATTTTCATTTTGGGGTACGAACAATAAAATACCCTATACATCTGCAGTTCTTTGGATTCTGAAACGGCTGTGTTGCTCGTGAAAGTAACGTTCCGAAGGTAATTCGCATTTGGTTATTTCTTATATAACTCCAGCATAACAGAAGTACAAAATATGTAGTTCCTATGTACAAAGAGTTGAAGTGTTTGACACAAAGTTATAAGTTGTAAATCTACTCACCGACATACAGTTGCCTGGAGTAAGAGTAAGTGACTGGTATGGATTTGTACTTAAAACACTAGCTACTTTTCCCACCCACGATCTACATCCACTATAACTATAAATATAGTTAATCGATTAGTTTAATATGATTAAAATCTTTTGAAAATGTGTTTTTGAAGACAAAGAAACCTATGTTAGATGTTCTTATTCTTCTTACCGATCTATAAAGTCAAGCCATTCGATAGTTTCTTCTTATGTTGTGCTGTTATACCACTGTTCAATGTTAAGAGGAGGGTTAGGCGCTATCTAACTTGTTTAACCCCGCCATATTCTTTATGTGCCTGTCCAAAGTCTGAAGCCTTGCAAATCATTTGGTGAAGTTGTTTCGTGTCTGTCGTATTTGTTTTTTGTAAAAAGTTTTGTTATAAATATGGCCGGTATTTTTCTCGTTTGAGTTTTTTTTTTTTTTTTTTTTTACTTTTTGTAATATCGGTGCCTTTTATATCTGACTATATGTATTGGTTTTGGTCCATATTGAAGGCAGTGCGGTGATATATAATTGCTTACATCCACGTAATGTGTGCTCTGGTTGATCGTTGTCTCAATTGCAATCATACCACAACTCCTTATTTATATATTAATCGCGTCAATTCGAGACCTTGGATACACATGTACATTTGATAGGAATGTGTTTATAAAAACTTATATAAATCATATAAAACATTGTTTAAATAATTATGAATCAATACTGTTTTTAAACAAGGTATGGAAGATTTATAATTTTTATCAAAAACTAAAAAAAGAGATAAGGCTTATGAACTCCCACAGGCAAAGTCGACCTTAGATGGATTTGGCTATTATATTTAGGATCCTTTTGATCATATAGCCCTTCATCTGTTTTTTAGTTCTTATACATCTTTGTGGTTTTCAAATATTTGGCTTTAGGCGTTCCGGATGAAGATAAATTCATAAAATCGCTTTGGATGCATGAAATTTATAAAGCGTTATCTTCATTTTGTATAATTCAAAACGACTAATGCGTGTTTTTCTACAAAAGAACTTATAAAATGAGTTAGAAGGCCAAACAAATTTCGAAATTGAAGTGCTTAAAACTAGAATTTCAACGGTATTTTACCAAATCTACATTGTAGATAAGTCGATCTAGGCTTGGCAATGAAAACAATATCTTAACTGAATATACTATGTAAGCTTACAGCATTTTAACGAACTAGACCACTATACGTTATGTGTACTCTTATCCTGATTCATTCATTATCTTGACGGATAGGTGTGTTCTTACTCCTATTCATTCATTATTATGACGGATATGTGTTTTATCTCTCTGATTCATTCAATTTCCTAACGGACAGGTATATTCTCTCTCTGGTTCATTCATTATCCTGACAGATACATGTAGGTGTGTTCTTACTCCGATTCATTCATTATCATGACGGACAAGTGTATTCTTACTCCGATTCATTCATTATCATGACGGATAGGTGTGTTCTTACTCAAATTTATTCACTACCTTGACGAATAGGTGTGTTCTTACTCTAACTTATTCATTACCCTGACGGACAGGTGTGTTCTCACTCTGATTCATGCACTATCCTGACGGACAGGTGTGTTCTCACTCTGATTCATGCATTATCATGACGGATAGGTGTGTTCTTACTCTGATTCATGCACTATCCTGACGGATAGGTGTGTTCTTACTCTGATTCATGCATTATCATGACGGACAGGTGTGTTCTCACTCTGATTCATGCATTATCATGACGGACAGGTGTGTTCTCACTCTGATTCATGCATTATCATGACGGACAGGTGTGTTCTTACTCTGATTCATTCATTATCATGACGGACAGGTGTGTTCTTACACAGGTTGATTCATTATTATGACGGCTAAATGTTCTTACTCCGATTCATTCATTATCACGACGGATAGGTGTGTTCTTACTTCGATTCATGCATTATCAAGAAGGATAGATGTTTTCTTACTCTGGTAATTCACTCATTATCCTGACATACTCGTTGTGACCCAGATTGTCAAATGAAGCTTGTGGGTCATCTCTTTGGACCCATCTGATACAAGTTAGGTTGTCAAACTGTTTAATACCCGAATAAATTGCATTTTCTTCGTCTACAGCTGAAATTAATTGTCAAAGATATTTTATGAAATACAATAACATATTATCATTTTCCTTAAAATCATTTCTTAATTATAACTTATTATAACATTGGTTACAATGAAATATCTTGATTACCAGAAAAATAAATACGATCTGATAACTTCACAATTTTGACGTCGTACACCAGTGTGTGTTGTCAACGATCCTGTCGACGACGTTGCATCAAAACGCATTGAGGATGCATAAAAAGACAAAGTTCCTTGCATTTTCTACTTTATTTTTTTTTTTAAATTCCATGATCAATATAATATAAAAAAAAGATAATTCGAAGAATTTAAGTTTACAAGAATCTTTATTTCGTGTCCGAACATCGTGGATAATAAGTACTCGCATTCGTGAATTAATGTGTTGTTCGGTCATTCGTTAAATATTTTTCTGTATTTAAATTCTTTGATCTGTAATAACATTTTCTATTTGTTTTAATTATTTCTTCAAAAATAAAATATTTGGGAGACAGAATCATTTAAATTTTATGAAACAAAAATAGCAGTTTGAAATTATTATCAAAATCAATTATATATCGAATCTTTTTTTGACAATTATTGTATATATATACATACTATACGTATTTGCTGCTATTTCATAAGGTATAATTCCTTTTGGCCATATATACCACTGGTTTAAGACAAAATTCCTTTTTGTTCCACCAGGCTGTAACATAAAAAGTATATCAAAATGAAAATTAATTAAATATATTTTTGTTTTAGAAGAAGCAGTTATGAAACACTTCATTAACAGTAAGGATATTCGCTACTCATGTTTTTGACTTTTTTGTCAGATTTTCGGAATCCTCTAGTTTTATCCATGTAGTATCAAATGAAAATTATGCCCGCTAATCCCTACTTTTCTTTTTATATTTTTATAACATAGAGTTTAACAAGCCATTTTTTGAAAATCTTTAAAAAAAACCTTGTTTTTTTCATAGTTTTTTAAAGAAATAATGTGCCAATGTTAATTGAATGAAAATCCTAGAGAGAATCATTTCCCGCCAAATTTTCAATTGCTCAAATCTAAAAACAAGGACATGGACCTGTAATTTTTTTTTACTTTTTAAGTTCTATTATTTATATTCTATCAATTTATAACAGTCTTTTAAAAAGCTTGAGGCGGAGCGAACATTCTTAAGGAATAAACATGATCGCGATAAGACGTCAAAGACACAGCATGGCTAAGGTAGTATACAATGAAGTTGTGATGACATCAGCTTGGAACTTGGTGTATATGTTCATTACAGTGAACATTTTATTTTAAGTATCTCAAATCAGGATTTAGATTCAAATTTCACGATTCACTGAAACTGGAAACGTGAGAGTACGAGCGTAAATCATGTTTTACATGAATATTGTTCACATTCTATTATCGGCTATCACTACGGAGGTTACAAAAAGATTTGTGTTCCAAATTGCCATTCAAAATATTGGGTTTTCTTAGCTTGTACATTAGATGTTTTTTTCTGCGATCCTATTGTCATTGCTTATTGAAAGGACTTAACAATCGTGTAACGCAGATTACTGCTGATAATTACTTCTGCGGTATCGATGCGGTGTTTTGTTACCTTTTCGGCTATCAAGTGTTCATCGTGGTTATCTCCCTTGAGTTTCGCTTTCTGTCGAGGCCTAGCACCTTCAGCCTGTAACAGAACATATTAACTATTATTCAGAATATCTACATTTCTTTATAATCGTACTTTGGCTACCTTGTTGAGGGTCTGGATGGGGTTTCCTCAATTCTTTCTTCTTTATTTTTTAGACCATTTTTGTCCATTCTTTATTCATTTTGCCCATTATTCTCTATTCTATATTTGAAGCACCCGACTATTCTCTATTCTATATCATTTGTCTAGCGTCTCTTATTCTTTATACTTTTTGCCCATTATTCTCTATTCTGTAAACACCACCCAGACCCTCCTGGTTGATGTCTATGTTAACTTTCATAACGAGATTGTATCATACCTAAGTGGGTATTAAGACGACTTAAACTTAAGGTCGATCATCAAAAACAAATACAAGCACTTAATATTTGATTTTGAATGTGAAAGTACATTTTTGTTTTCTTTAAATCCATTTTTTTTGCAAGAAGAATTATACTTTGGGCATATATTTTTTTATCAAATTCATCTGAAAGTTTGGTTTAAACTATAAATTTAATATGTGAAAAATTAACTTTAAGAATTTTGAGTCTGGACTTTAATCGTCAATACATGTAGCTATGCAAAACTTTTATGAATTTCAATAAAATCAAAACGTTTATCACCGCTACATATAAAAGTTGACGGCATTTTGATACAAATTTACGAATTGTACATGTTTTTCTCACTAAAATTGATAAAATTGTATTTAAAAGATAAATTAATATATATCATTACAATTTTGGTTTTGAACAATGATGCTCTTCTTATTCATTTTCGGAATACATTTGTCAAAATCAATCAAAATTTTTTATATCCAATAGAAGTAAATGAATAAAAAGCTATGGCATGATTCCCAATTATACAACAACAATATATTCATAAAATATCGAAGGACAAAGATATCAACAATTATAGGTCACCGTAAGGCATTCAATAATGATCAAAACCCATATCGTGTAATGAGTTATAAAAGGCCCGCGGTGACAAAACGTGAGTATATAAAATGAATATAAAACTTACAACTACAAGATTAATACCACTACAATAAAAAAAAAAAGAGCATAGTATGGTTGGAGTTCATGCAGCGTTAAAAAAACATCTACTGTCTTTATTCAGCGATTTTTTTTAGCATTTTTAGCGTTAGTTTACTTATAAAATAATAAAATATACAAAATAAAGACAAACCTGGCGATACTTTCCGTTCTTTTCGATTTGCATGGCTTCAACATCCTTCTCGAAAGGGTTTTCAGCTGATATTTCCTGGAAACAGTAGAATTGATGTATTATATGTTATCAGCAGATATTTCCTGGAATCAGTAGAATTGATATATTATATGTTACATTTATCAGCTGATATTTCCTGGAAACAGTAGAATTGATATATTATATGTTATCAGCAGATATTCCCTGGAAACAACTAGTAGAATTGATATATCATATGTTACATGTATCAGCTGATATTTCCTGGAATCAGTAGAATTGATATATTATATGTTATCAGCAGATATTTCCTGGAAACAGTAGAATTGATATATTATATGTTATTCCGGATCTTCACATGAATACAGACTCATAGTCCCCGTCAGTTCGGAGATAACTGTATTGTATTTTAAGCTCCGACGTCATCAAATCACCAATTGATGCCATCGGATCTTAAAACACAATATTGTTATCTCCATTCTAATGAAACTGACAGAAAACAACGTCAAATCATATATTTAAAATCTGTCATACGTCGTCTGCGCTTGCTCGTACGTTTTCATAGCATCAATTGTGAATTGAATTGATGCCATGAAAATAGGTGGCGTTATCCAATTAAAATGAACGTTACAAACGATAATGCATTATAATGTTTCATATCTCCTCTAATAGTAATAATGAAAACAATTATATTATATTGAAGTTTCCTGATTTCAACAATAATTACCATAATGATTCTAATCTTCATCTATCGTCTTATGTATGGCAACTTATGTATATCTTACCGTATCATCCTTACTTCAAAGTTATTACTAAATATTTGATTTGAAGATGAAGAATAGTATTTTTCTGCAGTTTCATATAACAGAAATATGGTGGCCACAAATATCTTGTATTCTCAGCCTTCATTCTTATTTCAAGCAGTATCTATACACAATTCAAAGATCATCCAGTTAATGGTATTTCAACCTCGAGTGTACCTTTACCTTCTCATTCTAAGCGAACACGACCTGCAAACCCGCACTTTTCCGCGTAATTTTCGTCCACTTGGTTGAGCAGGATATATAAACACTAAGCCACACGTGGTCTACTGAATGAGGACGTTACATCCGATACTTCGACTGGAAACAATGCCACGCTCTCTGTATACCAAACAACTCATGGGAGGGTTGAGATCTCACAAAACATGTTTAACCCCGCCGCATTTTTACGCCTGTCCCAAGTCAGGAATCGGTTTCTGTAATTTTCGTTTGTTGATGTGATTCTTAATTGTTTCTCGTTTCTCGTTTCTCGTTTTTTATATAGATTAGACCGTTGGTTTTCCTGTTTGAATTGTTTTACACTAGTCATTTTAGGGCCCTTTATAGCTTGCTGTTCGGTGTGAGCTAAGGCTCCGTGTTGAAGGCCGAATTTTGACCTATAATTGTTTACTTTTTACACATTGTGACTTGTATGGAGAGTTGTCTCATTGGCACTCATACCAAATCTTCTTATTTCTATGTTCAAGACGAGAGCAAATTAACAATAAATATAATAGATACATTTGTAGGTCCTGTAATAATTTAGACTGCCACTTGGAAAATGAAGGTTTATTGGATAGGGACAGAAAATTCGCCTTGCAATATGCCAACTACAGTGCCTGACCCCTCAAACAGTTGTTGCAAGTGTTCTTAACGTGCAGAGAGCTTGACACTCTTTTTTCACGTGGCATCGGATTTAACGTCCCAATTATGACCGGATGTGGCTACATAATTGCACATCTTGCACAACCAAACGGATGCACGTACCACTTTGGTAAGGATATACTTCCCGTAAGAAGAAGACCAACGTAACCATATTTCCATTCATCAGACCCCCTTGGGGAGCTTATCTTTATTATTGGAGATTTGTTTACCCACTGTATATCATATATGTAGGCATTTTTGTGCCTGTCCCAAGTCAGGAGCCTCTAGCCTTTCTTAGTCTTGTATTATTTTTAATTTTAGTTTCTTGTGTACAATTTGGAGTTTAGTATGGCGTTCATTATCACTGAACTAGTATATATATTTGTTTAGGGGCCAGCTGAAGGACGCCTCCGGGTGCGGGAATTTCTCGCTGCATTGAAGACCTGTTGGTGACCTTCTGCTGTTGTCTGTTCTATGGTCGAGTTGTTGTCTCTTTGACACATTCCCCATTTCCATTCTCAATTTTATGAAATATTTACCACTGGTTGGTACAAACAACCAACCAACGATGAATGTTCTCGTCACTCGTCTCTATAATTTAGCCTATCCCATACAGTAGTAGGGGTAGATAATAACGTCACTCGTCACTATAATTTAGTCTATCCCATACAGTAGTAGGGGAAGATAATAAAGTCACTCGTCACTCGTCTCTATAATTTAGCCTATCCCATACAGTAGTAGGGGTAGATAATAACGTCACTCGTCACTTGTCTCTATAATTTAGCCTATCCCATACAGTAGTAGGGGTAGATAATAACGTCACTCGTCACTCGTCTCTATAATTTAGCCTATCCCATACAGTAGTAGGGGTAGATAATAACGTCACTCGTCACACGTCTCTATAATTTAGCCTATCCCATACAGTAGTAGGGGTAGATAATAACGCAGCCAAATTGAATGATAAGTCTTGATAAGAGTTTGAAATATTTGTCACTTGTATTCTGTTTGTAAAGTCAGTACCGTTCATTCATTTCACTTGCAGCAATCATATTGCTGTTTATGTATAGTTTTACAGGCAATTCACTGAATATGTTGATGTTTTATATATCTCAATTTAAGCTACAGTACTGAACAATCTGTAAAAAATACTGAACATATCTTTTTTGAATGCAAACGAAATGTGTAAACACTGAACAGTATACACTAACTGAATTTACCGCAGTTAGTAGGTTTAAAAATTGACTGAAAACTGTATGTCAGTGAAGACTGCTTACTATTTTTCGTTCAGCCTTTTCATTAGGACCTAATGATATAAAAATGGCCGTTTCAGTCCAAAATCGATTTATTAGTGGCTCATTGGTAATCATACCACATCTCCTTCTTTGTGTATGTATCAGATAATTACAAAGTTCAGCCTTAATTGCCAAATTCTGTATGTAATACATGTATAATAACAGCCAGTGTTCGTGTTGCTTCATTGAGTACTTAATTCTCTCATTTTTAAAAGATCAGTTGGATAACAAACGGTAAATAAGAACACACATACACTTTATTTCATTTCATAATTGATAGCGGTTAAACGGCACGTAAGAAAGCATGGGGGTATGTCGGAGACTTTAAAGTCGTGCAATGGCACCCAATTTTTTTCTTTCTGAAAATAAAATTTCTGTAATGATAACTATTAATAAGGTAATTATCTAGACTAGGTTAACATTTTAATATCTGCTTTGATGTATGTTAGTCTATGTAAATAATTTTTATGTTATTTTTATGGTTCATATCACATCTGTGTTTACTAAATAAAAATGTTTATATTTACGATTTATCAATGAAATAAATCTTTATTGATAATTAACTGAAAGTATCAAAATTGTGAACAGATCACTTAAATATTTAGATATTTAGATATTTAAGTTATTAAGAATAAAAACCTATCTCAACAAGACGCTTTGCAATTATTCATACGAAGCAGCGTGACAATCCTTTAATTGACATTCCAACTTATAATGGTTTACTTTTACAAATTGTGACTTGGATGGAGAGTTGTCTCGTTGGCACTCAAACCACATCTTCTTATATCTATTTATCATATAATTTTCATCTTAATAACACCCTACATTTAGTCGACCCTCTTAATTTTTTAATGTAGAAAAACAAACATAGCACTCAGAACTAATAAGTGCGTGTAATAGTCTTACATGGCACATATAGAAACAAGAAGATGTGGTATAATTGTCAACGAGACAACTCTCCACAAGAGACCACAGGCTCTCATGGAGATAACGAAACCAGAGTTTTATATTTTAATTAGATTGATTCTCATTTCCCAGTGGCAGTCCAAATTTCCTGGCCTTCATCCCGGTCGACCTCTATTACAGGACCTACCTACTGTATATATTCTTAATTTCATGTTGTTCTGAGCATGCATAAAATATTTGCCACTGGACTATAATCCATTAACAATTAATCAATTTATATATAATAACACAAGTTCAGTATGATATTTTAACCGTTGTTCTTTCGTAAAAAAGGAGACCCATCGTACAATTTGAAAACAAAATTTGTTTTCAAAATTTCCTTGCGCATAAAAAAGTTACAAATAAAAAAGTTTCGAATACTAGACAAGAAAAAGCAGAAGAAAGGCTGAGGTTCGGAGCGAAATTTCCGTTTATTAATGTCATAGTATATATTTGGCTTCCATACATGTAGTCAACTCTTGAATTAGTTTGTACGCTTATGTTTTCGATTAAGCTTACGCTGTACGCTGTTTAAATTTTCAGATAAAATATTTGAAACCCTCTACATAAAATGTACAAATAATATACATGTTTTACTGATTCAAGTAGAAAGATATTAATCTTAGAACATGTGTACTCTTACAAATCTTTAGATTTATTTTAGGTTCTATATCTGGTTGACATCACCCCTAGTGTGGGTAGTTTTACAGTAACTTTGAAGCTCGGCTTTGATTTTTGATACAATCGATGAAAATAGTTAGGACAGAGGTTTCGTGGAACACTTAGCACACCTAACAATATACCGTTCTATCTAAGAACACTTGATATGGCATTTTGGTATCCAGTACAGCGAAGGAAGATTCGAATTCCTCTTTTGTAAGTGTCGGGTGAGTATATGTTGTAAACTGCCAATACAGGCAGTTTGTGTAATTTGATTTATGGACAAAAACGATGTTGTTCGGGCCTTAAGAATTACATGTGAAATAAACCATGCCCAACAACGTCATTTTGTTGGAATTAATCTATATGTACATATATTAATGTAAATTAATTCATTTTATTCAGTGTAGTCAGTTGATGAAAGTTTGTACTGAAACATGTAAAATTTACATTATTTTTTTTTTTTTTATCAAAATGGCGTCAACAGCAACCGGCAGCG